GGTCTTTGAGTTTTAGGAAAAGAAAAATTGAAGATTTCGTTTTCAAGTTTTCCAAATCTGAAGGACGGTAACATCGGTTATATGGGGAGGCTCACCCAATATTTTCTTCCTGACGACAATGAGAAAAATTATCATCTTCCATGATACCAAGAAAAGGCAGGAAGGGGACGAGGACAGAGAAATTCGCTTTTGATACGATGATGTTCGATTCTAATTTCGTACTTTATTTCGCAAGAAGTTTCAAGAAACATGAACCTACCGTTTGTAACCCTCTTCTAGGTCGTAGGAAGACAGATTCAGGGATACCACGAAACAAGAAGGTACTCTCAGTTTCATCCCCTTCTGGTATCTTGAAATTGATTGCCATTCTCCTCATAGTGCTTCTCATCTCCAACGTGTACCTTTTCTTCCAACTGAGGAGCATGGAAGATCAAATGGTACCTTCTCACTGTCCCCTCATCGCGTTACGGTAAGTCATTCCTTTTCAAGACAAGCAGCAATGCGTTTTCCCTGCTGCATCACGGGGTGGTTAAGATGAAAAACACCTTGTTGACAGGACGAAGGCATCCCCTTCCGATTCAGACTGGGCGGAAGTTCTCAAGTATCAAGAAACGCTGCATCAGCTGGAGATCTCCCAGTGGAAAGATATTATCGCGATGGCCACTGCTCTCCTCAAGAAGGTGATGCGAAATCAGAACGGGGTTGTGAATTATTTCGTGTTTAGAATGTGTGTTGCAGCTGTCTTTTTTTTTCCTGCAGGCAGAGATTTCGATTGACCGTTTACGGCCGCAACAAAGACAAGGAGATCGCACGGTACAAGAGAACTGAGATGTCTGTGATAAATATGGAAAGGGATTTTTCATCTCTTTCTTTTTCGTATCATGATTCCTAATGTAGCAAGACTTCCATTTTCTTGGAGTGGCAGCCAGTCCTTCACGGGTGGAAAAAGGAAAAATAATTTTCATTCTCAGTATAATCACATCGTTATCCCTATTTTCTTTTGCCCGTCTGAGTTGTGGTGGACATCGATCAGAAATTGTTACCTGGACTGCATTCATTTTCAAAAAATATATTCCCATATGAGCACTTAATAAATGAGAATAAACTCAGGTATCATGGATCTGGTGGACGGTGAAATTAATTTGTAGGACCCTGCACGCTTGCCCATTCAGAACCTCAATATGAATCTAGTTCGTGCATGCTCAGGTTCACTTTGTATATGCTTCAATAGACTGAATGGTGTTCACGTTTCGGATACGTGAAATCATTTTGGAAAAGTAATAAGGGAATCCCGACATGGATGAACTCAACCCAAATAAGCTGTTTGAATGCATTTTCATTAGCATACATTTTTTCACTGCTATCTCCAACAACGAAATGGCACCGAAGACTGTTCCTTCTGATTGTGTGAGCAAGGTTCGACAACGCCTCACAGCGAGGACAGAGTTCCTTGAAACTTGATCGCTTGTCAAGGAATTCTTGATTGCGGATGGCTAAACGATTGTGTTTGCGTGCGTGCGTGTGTGTGCAGAAGAGAGGAGGGGGGGGGGGAATCAAGGGTCCCTAGGGTGAAAGGGAAGGATGTCCATGCTGTAAATCACATTGACCCTTTCTGTTCTCACACGGACTGAAGCTAATAGGGAATCCAAGTAAACAATCAATGAGTCACGAAAGCGACTTGTGAAAAAATTCATGCAAGTGCGATCGTATCGGAAGAGCTTGACTTTATTACTCACCCAAGAAATAGATCAACTGTCTATTTCTGGGGTTAAGATCGGAAAGAGAGCCTCGGAGAAGAGCGGAAAGAAAATGACTTGGAAAGAAAGATGATATAAGCGAAAAACTTCCCTTGGAAGTGAACACATGGAACAAGGAAGTCACCTTGCAGAGAGAGGTAGATGTCTGCAGCGTCACCATCACCCCTAGTAATCTTCTCCATCCCAGGATTTCCCAGTCGAAGCTGGGATTAGCATGAGATGCTTCCGATCCTCTTGGCCCTGTCGCTGTGCACGATAGTCTGCTTCAAAGTTGTGTCCTTCTCCACCAAGACGATGAGGAAGATCATCAGCGAGCCTTCACTGACTGTCTTCGCGACTAGGAAGCACTCACCGTCCCTATCGTGCCATCGGAAGAACAGCTCCTCCGTCTCCGTTACAGATGCAAGGCGTGGATATTCTACTGAGCTCTCCGAGTCCAACTTTGCTGGCAACGCTGAGATCCCGGAAAATCGTAAGGAAATGAATAGCTCATTGTTGTAGGGACGTTTGTGAAGGCTCAGACTAAGAGGCTATTAACATACCATTGAATGGGGATATACAGTGTCGAGGAAAAGGTACGAAAACTTCTAAAATCTGCATTAATTTTGATTGCAGCAGTTTTTCGCAGGTATTCAAAGCACGAAATTTGAATATTCTTCGAAAAATGTAACAAACACACATGTTTAAACAGTCCGCTAAGTGTTTTGCTCAACAGCCATGTTCTTGATCACAACCTGAATGAGCTTTGTCATAGAGTTGGCCATATATTTGCATGTCTCAGGAGCGATTTTGGCGCGTCATATTTAGATAATCATCGAATCAGCTGGTTCAGGCAGGTCACCTGACGCTCAGAAAATTATGTCTTCAACATTCACTACAAATTATCAATCGGGTCGAGATCTGACGAATTGATATGCGAGTCAAGAACTTCAAATTCTTCTTCCTGGTACCCTTGGAATTCAATTGTTTCTGTGTGACAGAATGCAAAGTCTCGTTGAAACGCAGCGCTCATTCCCATAAATGCGACAAACTTGTATTGCAGCAATTCTTTTGTCGTCGGGCACACGTAGAGTCAACAACTTATAGTGAGAAAAACTCCCTCATCATGACATTGGGCGCATGGTTCATTGCGTTATCAGAAACTTGGTTGTTGTTCAAACTAGTGAGGTTTAATTTCGATTGATACATCGAGGGACGAATTATTAGCTCGACTGCGATATTCCAGGCAGAAACTTTTTTTTTTTTGGCCAGTAGTGAATTTTACATCACACAGATGATTTCAGGAGACTCCTTTCAAAGACATAATAAATTGCCAGCTATTATGTAGTGGATAAATGAAAAAGGCAAGTATAGGAGCTAGTCAAATCTATAAACTAAGTTTATTTAAAATTTTTTGTCGACATCAATTGAGAACAGGTTTTTCACTCCTCTGGAAGCATGGCTGCTCTAAGTTGGAGTTTCTCATCCCAGTCAAAAAGAACATGGTATTTCTTGTTTTTCCAGTAATTCCCAGCAGCATGTGCTGCACCGAATGTCATTCCCCTTTCGTTTGGAGATGATATATTCTAATGAGCTGAATGTTAGTAACTGAGGAGAAAGTGCGTGTGTTTTTTTTTCAAATCTGATTTCCTGTAATGATTTTCAACGCCTGCTTTGTCATTTCAGCTTTGCATGCCGAACCACTCCGATGTTCATCCAGTCACGAAGGGAGAGAGTTGATCAACATAATTCTGCCTGTCAGCGTTGACGCGGTCTTCCAACTCCTCTTCACCGCTTCCAAGTTTCAAAGGGACTTCTTTCTCATTCGGAAAACTTTCGGTGAGACTCTGCGATCTCTCGGTGCCTGTCATATTCGCTTCTCCAAAAGCAGAAAATAAATATAAACAACCAAAGTTCAGGGTCTTTGCTTGTCCAGTTCGACTGGCGAAGATTTGCGATTAAGTAATACCAAAGAAAATTTGATGCTTCTTTAAAAACAGTCAGATTTGGTTCTCTGGAATATTGAATAAACCTTGGCAACAAGGATCTCGTTTAATACATTTTCCGTTGTTTTTTCTCGGCAGATATCGAGTACGGCCAATGGAAAGAAGGCGAGAATGAGGGCGAAAAGATACGCAAGCTGTCTTACCACGTCCAACTGAATAATCCGCTGGGTCCGAAAACAGGATTGTGCACACAAGAGCAGGTAGTCCTTTTCCGCGTGTCTTGTCTTTTTCTTGTCAATGGCATAGACAGACGTCTTGTCATAGACAGACGATGAACGGCATATATTCGCCAGACCAATTTATTTCCCCCTTCTACAGGTGTTGACCTACCTCTGACTGAACTGATTACAGCACACGTCAGAGGGTGGACCATCTCTTATAGATTCCGTGGAGTGTCCAGGACAACAGTTCCTTATTACCTCATCAAATTGAGGCATGAATCGAATGAAGTTCACGGACACTCTGCATATTCTAGATCTCCTATGCGGATAAAATCATAGGCCTCCCAAAAGGGTTCTCAATAGGAATATGAGCTTGTTTATGGCCTGGACTCTATGAATATGTCTTGAACATGTGGATAACAAATGATGAAATATCCGTGTTTATTGATTCCTATTATGAGACTAGGCGAGACATACGGCAAGGTACTAAACAATCCTGCGAGGGACTATTCCAGGGAAAGAGTGAAGGGAACTTTTGTGTACTGTGNCGGCAAGGTACTAAACAATCCTGCGAGGGACTATTCCAGGGAAAGAGTGAAGGGAACTTTTGTGTACTGTGCGAAAAGCGAGACCCTTACCTCCATCTAGTGGCCTGGCGAAGAACTTCAAGGTATTCACTTCAATACGAGCGACGAGGGAGCCTTTGGTGAGTAATAAGAGAGTAAATTCAAAAAGCTCACAGTGCGCTCACTTTGTACTCCCCAAACGCTCGGAATTTTCTAAGAGTGTAATCAGTTGCTTCCCAATGTTTCTCTAGAGGAACATGCAAGTAAATTGGTCTTCGTTCGTGAAAGGCGAATGAAGACAGATTCTTTTTCATTCATTCATTGAGTTCATCGATTCTTCATTTCCTGATACGGAAATATAAAAGGTTTAAAAATGGCCCGACAAATTTCCATCTTTGTGGAGAAGGAATGCAGACGGAATATCATGAATTTCCTGAATGTCACATCCAACACGTGTAGTGTTGGATGCGACGTTCAGTTTCGTGACATGTGGTTTCATGAAAATCTGAATGAAATTGGTAATCTTGAACTTGCGTTATAATTTTTTTTTTCTGTGCAATGTTGAACGAGCTGGTGCATGTGTTTGCCTCCCCAGCTGGACTGGGGTAGAGTAGATGCCACGCAATCCATTAGGGTTCAGACACCGACACACCTACTATTTTGACATCTCAACGGTAAAACATGCATGATTAGGTTCTAAATCAAATCTTTCTTTGACCCTGTTGACCAAAGTCGGGATCCCATAAAAGATATAAACAGGAAATTTATAGGATGTGAAGCAGAATATTAATCATTTTGTGGATACGGGCTCGTCGAGATGGTTCACTACCCCGTTTAAAGTTGACAAAGGAACTAGTAAACTCGTACACATTTCGTTGCGACATACATTTCAACTACACCATACACTTCCCCTTCACTTCACCGCACACGTCCCTCATTCTGCGATGAATTTCACTGCCCCGCACACTTTCTGCGACCCCGAATCTCTTGCTTGGTGCACTCCATGAGGGTAGACGCACCTTTGCGACAATAACCCCCTGAAGCAATACGACTGCCAAGCCTAACTGCTGCATTGCATCGTGCCCGTAACCATTCATGCCACACATTCGCGATTGCATTTATGACTCCTTCGCCTGGGAGACTTTCCGGGTTTCATATATACTCACCTCGTAAATTAGCATCCAATCGGCGAGTTCAACCACGAAAAGGTAGGTAGTTTTCATAAAATGTCAAAAATACGATTAAACGCCCAAGAAAGTTTCGTTGTAGCGAATCGGCCCCCTTTTTCTTGGACTTCTGCCCGACGCATTTTAAACCTTTCCAGTCTTTCTCTTTCTATCCCTTATCCCTCCACCGACTTTCTTTTCGATAGTCTTGTCCATTGGTAACACTTCCTCTCCAATTTCCGTTCCACGGATCCTCGTCCACCACGACATGGAGAGTGGTGATCGTAAAATACGAGTCACATTTGGCAATAAGTAGTGAGATCAATTGAAGAAGAATCCCATTCGTCACAACTACGTTGTGTCAACATGGACAAAATGGCTTCTAAGTCCGCCTTTGTGGCCCTTCTTATGACTGTTCAGTCTCATGCTGGGCTGCGACAGGTAGCCTGTCACAGGCTTGGACAGGCTATAAAAAAATGGCACCCAATAAAAAAGGACCAGGAGGCAAAAATGCCGCCTGGTCCTTTCTGGTACAAGACGGGTTGAAGTCGTTTGGAAGTTATCAGGAGCAAATTCGTTTTTAAAATTTGCCATAATCAAAGTCTCAATGGTATTTAAACATGGAGTTATTCGCATCATCTCAACAGAGATGATGCGAATAACTCTAACTAGGTTCTACCAGTCGACGCGAAGTGGCGCATAACCGCCGATTTAGCGATTCTCACCCTGGTGCCCTGAAAAATACGTTCCCCTGTATTTTTCATACTATATTCGAACTTTTCCCACGTACAACTTAAGGGAAGGCTTTGGAATTCCTAGAATAGACCCATTTAAGGAGGTAATCCGGCGGAAGGAGACTTCAGGTACTTCTGGTCAGGGGGTTCGAAGTAACATGCCGAGTTTTCCTACCTCACTACACGGCGCATATGCTGAATCGGGCTCTTGTATCTGTTTCGAGAGAGACAGAGCGTGTTAAGCGACCTGCGAGCGCGTGTCTGGCTCTTCTCCTGCATGGGAAATGAATCTGAGGTTGTTGCTATGTACGTAACTCCTCTGTTGGTCGTGTCAAGTACTCAACTAGGATTCCGATCCAGTTAAGGAAGCTACAACCTTCGAAGGACCCCTAGTGGGATGATAGAACTTATTTTAGTACTTTCATGCTCTACAGGGTGCCTTAAAAAAAAAAAGCAAGCCATTGACTTCAACCTGCTGTAAATCAGGCTGCGGTGTCTGGATTTGGGTAACCCATGGAATAACTCATTTTCAGCAGGTATGAAAAGTTACGATATTACTAGTTTTTTGTTTCATCAGGATGAAAATGGCCGCCTCCATTTGGAAAACTGCTGCAATCGTCCCCATCTGTCATTTGAGTTGGAGCAGCGACAGCTGTTGTTAATAAGAACACAATTAATTTTCTGTATCAATGTTTTTAGAGGTGTGTCTTTCTTTTCCCACATTTTTTTATACTAAAACAAAACAATACCGAGCTATTGATACTTGCATGAAGACTTGGCGGTGACCAAGACCTTGCGAGTCCCCAAACGTCGACAAATCGACACTGGCACAACGTGACACATGAGCGTATTTTCAACGTTGAACTGTGTTTCATTTCAACATAGCGGCAACATTGAATCCACCTTTTACACACCGTTGTGGTAACATCGCTACATTGAAAAATCAATCTTCACTCAAGGTTGACCCGACGTTAATGTGCCGAATGGGATGTTATTGGCCTTGGCAGGTTCCTGATTCGTGGGAACTTCTTTATTAATGTCGAGAAGGGTCCTTCCTCCATTCCTTGATCGAGATCTAAGCGATATCTGATTGAGATCTAAGTTCGATACCCTTCTGGCCTTCCGCTTCTACAATTGGAAAATGCTAAATGTATGGGATTTCTCTCTCATCTTGCTGAGACTGTTACGGAACTGTGTTGTACCTTGGATATGCGCGACTCGGACGGTGTTAGACGAAGCAGGCGTCATCTATCCAGTCGTCCATTATTAAAATTCCTTGATGTATATCTCGACGTATAACCATGTCATTCCTATCATCAACAAGCTCAGACGACTGAAATATCTCAATGTGTTCACTCATAAATTAAAAGTGACCATCATGTATATCTTGAGTAGGGCGGAAGCGAAACAGGTTCATGATTTGAAACTTTCCCACTCCATCGCCTATTTCGATCCATCGACAGATCGGGAATTTCGCCGAGAACATTGTCTCAGTCTCTCTTCCCAGTCTGGATATGCCACAGGAACTGGGGGGGGGGGGGGGGGGGGGGGGGGGGGGGGGGGNTATCCAAGGTACAACACAGTTCCGTAACAGTCTCAGCAAGATGAGAGAGAAATCCCATACATTTAGCATTTTCCAATTGTAGAAGCGGAAGGCCAGAAGGGTATCGAACTTAGATCTCAATCAGATATCGCTTAGATCTCGATCAAGCAACGGGTCACTTGCCTTCCTTGTTAGTTTTGGTCCACACCAAATGCACTCCCGGTACAGACACAGCTGGGTGAGCGTCCTTCCACCCTGTAAAGAGTCAGAATTTGGCTTGAACGGTTACTACAGCGATGAAGTGACACGGGATACACTTCTAAGGCTCAGCCCTCACCAGTTATCTTTGACGAGCCACGTCTGCGTGCCTCTTCCAGAGAAAATGCCTGAGACCAGCCACACCACTGGCTGAGCAGGTATCGAACTTGGGTCTAAGGAATATTAGGAATCAGACTCCCTTCCTACCAAGCCCACACGGAGTCCCCGTCGCCAGCCTCAAAATAGAGTAGCAAAAAACTTTTCCTCGCTCAAGAAAGTAAGAACCTTGGAAGTTAAATTTGGAATCATTTGGAACCTTGCCCACATAAACGCAAGAGCAATGCAAGAACAAGAATTTCGGACGTAATAATGCCCGCGAAGTACTTGTGAATGGATATCACTCAATACTTTGAATTGTGGGAAATGTTCTTCAATGGAAGCATCGATAAAGCAATAAAGCAACTGTGGCATCCGTGAGAGCAAATTTTTAGTCAGATCTCATTATCTCCTCATAGAGTTCTCATTACCGCATACGAGACATATGCCAGACAAAGACATGCGAGCTCTCTCCTTGTCACTGAAATCGAACCTGACATGAAGGATCATGCTGATAGGATGGCTGTCTTGGCCCGCATCCAAGAACGTGTCTGAAACAGATTGAGTTCCTAAACAACTAAGTCTCGTTGAAATTATCACATGAGCAAAAAAATTAGGCCCGAGTAAGAAACATTTTTAATGCATGACACAAATTCGGCACAATAACGTTGTGTCAACGTTGAGTGAAGATTGATTTTTCAACTTAACAATTTTGCCATAACAGTATGTAAAAAGTGAATTCAATGTTGCCACAATGTTGAAATGAAACACAGTTCAACGTTAAAAATACGCTCAAGTGTCACGTTGTGCCAGCGTTGAATTGTTGACGTCTAGACATTACCTCCTCCTTTTCCTGACATTGAATATGTGCTAATATAGAGTAATTGCTTGAAAGTATTCTAGTGAGTACTATTATCCACGGTTGGTTCCTTCTGAGGTTCCTTCTGTTACTTCCTTTACTGGATTAGAATCCGGGTTGAGTACTTGAACGGCACAACTCATTCTGCCCAGCAGAACTGCCAGCTATGCCTGGCATCATCACCAGATTTGCCTCCTCCATTAGAGACGAGCCAGATACGCCCTCGCAGGTCGGTTAACACGCACTAACGTTAGCATTCTCGTAAGAGAATCAGTAGCCCGAACCTGTATGAATGCCACATAGTGAGGTAGGAAAATTCGTTGTTTCCTCGGCCCCCCTGGCCAGACGTATTTGGAGTCTCCTTCTGCCGGGTAACATCCTTAATCTAGGAATTCTGAAGCTGTCGCTGAAGTTGTACGTGGGAAAATATCAGGTACTGTATGAAAAATATTCGTTCTAATGGCACTAGAGTAAGAATTGGTAATTCGGCGGTTAGGCGCCATCTCGCTCCGATTGGAAGAACCAATTTTCTGTTGAGATAATGTGTGACTGGTGATTCAACATGGAGTTGAATCACCAGTCACACATGAACTCCATGTTGAATCACCATTGAGACTATGATGAAAGCAAATGTGAGAAACGAATATGCTCTTAATTGCCTTCGAACGACTTCGATAATCCATGAGTAGTCACCATATGCTGAAATTTCGGTTTATTACGAATACCCAGCATTTCATTGCTGCTAATTCTTCGCTGAATTCTCAACTTCAACTATGTCTCAACACGGCAACCTTTTGTCAACATTGACACAAAGTAGTAGTGCCAAATGGGAAGCTGCTTCTGAATGCTAATTTTAAATAATTATATTTTTATATTTCATGGTTTAAAATAATTAGAGACATCTAGGGTAAGCACCCCGGTTTCTGGCCGGTCTCCAGTTGTAGGCCAGGGAGACTTAAATCCAGCATAGTTAGTTAATCTGGCCGTTTTCAAGCATTCTATCAACATCTTCCCGTACGAGGACCTATTACTACCTGTACACTCTTAGAAAAAGGGGAGCGATTTTTCTCAAAAAAGAGAGTAAAATCGATAACTCCAGTTTCACTCCCCTTTCACTCTGAGAAAGGAGCGAATTTGTTCCATCACCAAGGAGTAACATTGCTCTCTTCCTCCATGAGTAAAAACACTCCCCTTAGAAAGAGATAGGGATGTCATGCAAATACGCAAATACTCATATATACTTTGTGTCGCTTTCGCTCTCGTACAGTACAGGCATTAACCTACCTTTGGCAGTACTGATTACAGTACTGATTACATGTCAGAGGATGGACCGCCTCCATGAAGTGTCCGGGATATCAGTCCTTCATTTCCTCAAGATGAGGAAGTGATAGGATTGAGTTCATGCACACCCTCTTTGTATTCTGGATTGCGAAAGAAACCCTCTAGAGTTCAAAAGGGTTCTCATCAGGAATATGAGCTAATTTATGGTCCGGACTCTATGAAACTGTCTTGAATATGTGGATAACAAATGATGGAAAGTCCGTGTTTATTGATTCCTTTAATGACTAGGCCAGTCATATGTCGAGGTACAAAATAATCATGCGAGGGACGATTCCAGAAAAAGTGGGAAGGGAACTTTTGTGTACTGTACGAAAAGCGAGACCCTTACCTCCATCTAGTGGCCTGGTGAGGAGCTTCAAGATGTTCACTTCACTACGAGCGATGAGGGAGTATTTGGTGAGTAATAAGAGAGTACATTTGAAATAGCTCACATAGTGCTCACTTTTTACTCCCTAAACGCTTGGAATTTTATAAGAGTGTAGGAGTAGTGCTAGACCTGAAAGTTGAGTCAGTATTGCAATTTCGCTTATCGCAACACTCAGGAGATTTGTGGTTCAAGATTGCTCGACCATTCCCAGCAAATACATAAACATTCCATCAGCCCCATATCAGCACTTACTTTGAACCTTCATAGCGTTACATCTGATGATTGAACCAATATTGCCGCTTCCCTCATTGAAACACTCATGCGAACGTTTTCTCTCGGTCTCGTTGAAAGTACTTTGGCAGATACATTATCTTTGCTCTATTGACTCGGGAGACCTCAACAACCTTCACAGGCCAGGTGTGTACTGTTAATGTCACCGAAGATCTGGACCCAAATTTAGAGTTGGACTTAAATATAAGTGGAGTGGGGTGCTTAGATATAGGAAGCACTCTGATTTGCACCCTATTCAAAATCGTATTCACAGTATAATGTACCTGCTAAGATACAAAGAGAGCTGAAATGGAAGCACATGACTTGAGCGCGTCACACTATTGCTTCGTCACAGGCGATCTCCACCGCCAAGAATGAAGGCATGGAATGGAAGTCCCAGGGTGCGCATTTTCCCGCATTTTTGGATTGTGATTTGTCAATCACAATCCAAAAGAGGCGGAACATTGGGTAACATTCGAAAAACAATTTTCCTATTGTAAAGATAGATACTCGTATATACAGGTATATATTAATAGTTTGATTTCAAGATTTTTGTCCTCCAAGTGAGTTCATGTAGGTCATCCAATAAAACTTCTTCACTTGCTATGCGTTCTGGAGCCATTGTGTTAGGGAAAAAATAAAATAAAATTAGAGTAATTTTTCCATCTCTAGTAAAGTTATCACCCTTACCTACACTTCAAGTCGAGAAGTACTCATGATTTATTTTATGGAAAGTGAATTATTGCTTCCAGAGGGGCGGGTCGGAAAGTCCATTCAGCACGGATAATCGGGGTTCGTTCTGCACAGGGTATGGCAATTTCTGTAAGTATTGAATAGCTATGTGTTACACCTTTTTGCTGCTTATAGTCAAAGCGCGATCACTCGCCACCTCTTGATCATTGTTATAATTAATAATTCCAGAATGATAACCTAGGTAACAGACGTGGCAAATACGGAATCCCTTCCCGCTTTGGTAAGACAACCAAGGCGGGAAGGAATGTTTCAAAGGCCTCTGCTCAGGTCACTTGACTACAGCTCCGCCCCCTTATTTATCGTCTGCTTTTTGTCGCCCTCGTCCGCATTTGTTGTTCTGCGGCAGCACAACGTGTTCGAGGTGGATTATTGCTGATTTCTCGTGGGCCTACTTGTATAGGGTGGTCCACAATTGTCTCCCGAAAAGTAAAAACTCATTACTCAGGAAGTATACATCCGATTTCAATGATATATGACTCAAACGATAGCCAATTAAATATATTTTTATTTTGGAAATTTTCAGCATTCCATAAAAAAATAGAACAAAGTTACATCATAACAAATGAAAATACCCATATCGTGCAGCTAAAGCCTGTAAATATCACAATCTTTTCTGAAATTCGCAATTCATTCGTGGGTTTTTCATGCATCGCAAGGGTTTGTCTGTGTCATGGGTGACCTCAGTATCCTGCAGAAGACGAATATCGCCATTTGGTTTAATGATTTGAAGAGAGCAAATTTGTGCGGGAAAAATTTGGAAATTTCTTCAGTTTGGGTCCAAATGCCTCAGTCCCAGATCAGATCATGAAGGCAATTCATAAGAAGTTTCTGAACCGGAAGAGATACATCGGCGGACCATTGACAACCTAGATATGCTGAAACAGGCCATTTGAGATGCCTTCGCCACAGTAGGACGAGAGATGATTGAAAGAATTCTGCTGGCATTCAAAGAGAGACTGCACCAAGTCATTGAAAATTGTGGAAGACACATTGAACTCTGATGATTTGGCGGCTTTTATTTGTAAGGATGTAACTTTGTTCTAATTTCGTATGGAGTGCTGAAATTGTCCACAGTGAAAATATATTGAATTGGCTATAGTTTGAGTCATGTACTATTGAAATTGGATATATACTTCCGGAGTAATAAGCTTTTACTTTTGGGGAGACAAATGTGGACCACATTGTTCTTGCGTCAAATTTTCTACAGAAAAGTAAACGACCCATAGACATCAACAACTTTTACTCCTCCTCAGTTGGCCTAACTTCTAAAGTTAAATGCCATGTTCATTAACGCATAGACCGAGGCTTCAATGCAGTTTTTAAGCAAAACCAAGAAGAAAGCTTCTTGCAAGCTAGTTTCTTGTTAGACTCTTGTTAAAATGTTCGACCGCGTCCTAGGTCCTACGCCACACAGCACAAGTATATCCCATAGATATCCCAGAGATATCCCCTTGAGACAAGTGGGCTGTTTTGAAATCGAATTTGAATTCGTATTTTCTCTCTCATTGGAGTCCATCAATGAGCGACAATATATGCAAGTTCACAAGAACTTAGCAATGATATTAACAGTGGTATGTTTCTTGATCCTAGAAATATCCTTTTTGCTTCTTGTCACTCCTCATCCTAAAAAAAAAAATCAGTTGCTTTTGGTGTTTTCCTCGTTCTTAGGTATTCATAAACTTTTATATAGAATATTTATTCTGAAATTGAGTGAAATCAGTATCTTTATTATTCCATTTTTATATTTCAAGACGTGGCAACCCTGGATGGGATCTGAACAGCTCAATATATTTCGAACCTAGCCTGTACACATTGCATACTGTTGGTGGACTGCTGCCACGACTAACGCCTCCACTGACTAGTGTGTAGTGCTCAATTGCAGACTGATCCAGTGGGCTCCACCTTCTATGTTCTTGTCGATGTTTAGGACTTGTGATATGCTGAATTCAGAGAAGGCCTAAGGCCTAGGTCTAATAAAGACCTAGGCCTAACATTAAAGCCTACCCAGCCTTGCAAACTGCCCGCCTTAACCAAGTGTAACTCTACCTGTTCCCCTAATATCTGGAAATATGAACACCGGTATCAAATCTCACTCCGCCATGAGCATCTCACCACAATCCCAATCACAGGGTCCTGTAGCCCAAGGCCTACATGGCTCTGCCTCTCAGGAAAGGAGTACTGTGAGTCCCTTTGCTTATTTTTTTTCCAACCCTGGGAAGTATTATGTGCTAGCGTTTCTTGCTTGAGTCTTGCATTTTTTCACTTGACTTGGATCCATGCATTGAGCACTCTCATTTACATGAGTGTCTGAGTCAGGTGGAAAGCACTGTAAAAGGACTTTTGTTCTTTGACTGAAGTCCCATCATAAGTCTAATGACTATTAGCCTGTTAAACTATTAGATCATATGAACTAATTACATCACTTTTTCAGCTTGGTTTATACCCAGTTAATGAAAACTAAACCTGAGTTAAACAAAACTAGCCATGCTCTCCAGCCTCCCATCAGCAGAAATTGGGGAATAGACTGATATTACCAGGCTCTGAACTGAGGATTGATTTCATATGATGCCAATTTCAGTTTATCTCTATTTAACTGAGATCTGATATACTGGACTGAAATTGTAGTTTTTCTCCTGTTTAGTAGATTTTGGTTAACTGGAGACCTGGCATTCGAAACTCTGCCTTCAATGTGAAGACTTGTGTTGCTTGTGGTTACCAGTGAATAAAATCACTTCTCTTCAGCCTCTGGTATTCATAACATCAATGATTCATCCTCATGGCTGACTGCCTACAAGAAAAGAAATGTCTGAAATGGATAAGTTAATATTATGATATTAAGACATGTCCCCAATGTATCAATTGATATTGTGCTATGATAAATTGTATTCTTAGAACTCTTGATTGTGGCCATACCCTTTTGTGATGTTTTCTGTACAAGGTTTTTATGTGCAGGAGAATAATCACTTTGTAAAGCCCTGTATAAGAACACACTCATTGCCTATATTTAGTTAACATCTAATTAACTCATCTGGTACTAAATGTCATTTGACTCCTCAGGTAAGCAGCTTATTGTCTTGTATATGGATTTGGTCACACCCTTTCAAATTCCTACCATGCACTACATGAATTTTTAATAATTTTCAAATGAAACACTGAACATTTTTGGAAAATCCCATGAAGTACATGGCAAACATTATCTGAGAGCTACAGGGTGACAATTCTCAATGTTACAGATTTAATGGCTTGCCATGTACACAATTTTCAACTAAGAGTGTTAGTGACACATTTCCCAAAAGCTTGTCTCATGCAGTTTTTTGTTTCATTGCAAATTTGTTAACAAGAGGGGTCAATATTTGCTAGAGCAAAGGGTGTGGATAGTGACTAAATTCATGGAGACAGTCAAACTGAGAATGCTGAAATCAAAGCAGAGGGCATCTTGAACACATTTTAGCATAATTTCAGTATAATTGATCAAATATCTTTGATATTAATAAAACTAAAGAGCTATTGCTCATTAAAATCAGTAGTCAATTATAAAAATGAGAGCTTATGAAAATCAGTAACACTGAAAATTGTCACCCTGTGTGAATGTCCGACAGAAAGTTTGTTGAGCACTGCCATTGTTCATACTGTATTCTGTACCCAGTGCTGGGGTCATTGAAGTTTGCAGCAGCAGGATCTAATCCCTTAAAGATCTGACAAGCATACTGTAAGCCTAAGGTTACATATTATAAATGGCAATCTCCATATTGATGTGTTGATATTGACAGCAGGAAGCCTCCATTGTGAGCTTTTGTGATCTCTTACCTTGCCTAACAGGTTATGAGTAAGAAGAGTCTCCATGATTTGGTGCAAGAGGTGGATCCCCATGAACAGCTGGATGAGGATGTGGAGGATGCCCTCTTGCAGATTGCTGATCAGTTCATTGAGAATCTGGTATCCTCTTCCTGCATGTTGGCAAAGCATCGAAAGTCATCTTCCCTTGAAGTACAAGATGTCCAACTTGTTCTGGGTTTGTTGCACTTGTACCATAACAATAAGTCTAACTGTAGTGTTCAAATTACTGCATGAAATTTCAGTTTTGCAAGATATCCTTTTTACATCTACATGATAGTTTTGTGAACAGTCCTATGGTATTGAGGGGGGAAGGGAATACAGGGATATTTTGGCATTTAGTGTGGAGGTGAGGGTGGGAGTATGTGTTCACATGCATGTACATGCACTTTTATGCATGTGTCTATTTACTAGCTCCGATGTCATCTCAAATGTATGAGGTGTGCAAGATGAACCAATAGTGCATTTGAGGGTAAAACAAATTGTGTGCTGAGTGCAGAGAACCACAGACACTGAAACTGCAGCACAGTTGATGCCACCATATAAAATTATGCATAGGTAGAGAGTGGCAGAGTTTTATTTTAAAACTTTCATTGGCCTAACTTTAGAATTCCTTCTCCCATATTGAGAAGTGGGATATTAAATAACCCCAGTGGTGAAGGTTGAACTCATATGTAAAAATTGAGAGGGTCTTGGCTCATCCAGATCAGATGAGCTAAGAGGATGGTGGGAAGAGATATAGGAATTTCAGTGTGACAATGAATGCTTTGCCATGAATAAATGTTACCTTGCCTTACAAGTCTTCCTTGGGAAGTGAAAAATCCCTGTTAGGAGATATAGGGATTGCCAAGGTTTCTTTTCTGGAATAATCATTGATCAGATCTAAATTTTTGGCTGGACCTTAATTACTTTTTTTAAATTATATTTTTGTGGATTGATTCGTATTTGTATGCTTCGGGGATTTTTTTTTTTTGCAAGAAAAGAGGAAGGCTTGACTTTGTTTACAGATCCATGTCACCCTGCAAACACATTTTTCTGTCTCATAATTTGGACCTATGTGTCAGTAGTGTCAGTCTTCTCCATCAAAATTATAAAATGTTCATCCATTCTCTTCTTTCAAGAGAATTTGGAAGGCATGAAATGCCAACTTCTTTATTCTGCTGTTATGATAGGAAGCCCCACAACCAGAAACTATGCAGGTTTTTCCACTTCCTTTACCCATGATTCAAACTAATCACCCCAATCCATACGGTTGTCAATACCCAACAAATATGCCAGTGAGACAAAATGGTGAGAAGCTAAGAGTGGCTGCAAGGGAATACCAATGGATGAGAAAGATTATACTAGGGGAGCTGGGGAGACAGTAAAGCACAAGGGAAGACTGTGTGCGTTAAGAGAGCAAAGAGGGAGTGAGAAGTAGTTCTTCTGTTTCGACTACCGAAGAAGGAGTCCCTGCAGCCCTTTATATATGCATCCTTGTGACGTCACTCTGCATGTGCACTTATTCATGACCTCCTTAATACCTGGGGTGGGGCTGAAGTAACCTAGATTATGCTGTGAGGCCAAAAGAAAAATTTCTTAAAGTACTCTTCATGATTTTCCAATGCAGAAATATTAAGGCTAAAAGGTTGGATTACATTTGTTGGTTTTAATACTTCTTACTGCCTTTCCATGACAACCAGGTTATGGGTTTAGTTTTGTAAATTGACACAACTCCGTACTTTTCTGGAATTTCATTCAAACAACCTGTCAAGATGGGAAAGGATTTTATATACAGGGTGGCCCAGATTAATATATACATTTTTTAACAAGGCCGTATGCCTCAAGTATTTTAATACCTGCATGTAACTACGGTGGAATACATTGTCAAAGGATCGAAGAAGTGAGTCACACTCTGTTTTCCATGGAGTGGTCCACCATGCGGCCCTCCATGGCGATGCAAGCTTCCAGTCGCAACTTCACGTTGTCACAGGCCTTCTTGCACATGTCTAGGGGAATTTTGCGGAATTCCTCCGTTATTGCTGCCCGAAGCTCTGGAATGTTATGGATCCTATGGCGGTAGACCTTGTCCTTGAGATATCCCCATAACCAAAAATCGAGTGGGGTCAAATCGGGTGATCTGGGGGGCCACTCAACTGGACCGCGTCTGCCGATCCACCGACCTGGAAATGTTTGATCCAACCAACTCCGCACAGTGAGAGCATAATGCGGTGGTGCTCCATCCTGCTGCCACCACATGGTGTCAAAATCATCGCGTTGCGTCAATAGGGGATGCACAGTGTTCACCAGAAGGTCACGGTAGCTGTCTCCTGTGACTGTGTCCTCAAAGAAAAACGGGCCGAGCAGTCCATCGTAACTTACGCCGGCCCACACCATGACACCAGGGCTCTGGTTGTCCACCTCCAATTCAATGTGTGGATTGGTTGCACGCCAATACACGCAGTTGTGGCGGTTCACATATCCTGAGACGTGAAATTTTGCCTCATCACTCCATTCCACATGGCGTGCTAACTCAGGATCGTGCTCCAGCATTGCAAGCCAAGTTTCGGCAAACTCCAATCGCCTGTCGGAATCATCTTCGAGCAAGTGATTTGTTAAGTGAGGATGATATGACCTCAGTTTCAGATCCTTCAGGATTCTTTGAATACTTGTAAGAGAAATGTCTAACCGAGCAGATAGCCGCCTTTGCGACTTGTCCTTTTCTTGAGAACTGGCCAACTCATTTTGCAGGCGCACTTTGTTGGCGTCAGTAGCAATGGTCTTGGGTCTACTGCGTTTACGCTCTTCAACGCTGCCAGTTTCATCAAACTTCTTGTTTATGTTCTTAATCGTTATCAACGAAGGTCCTGGTGTCCCAAACTTAGCTGCCATACGACGTTTCACTTCTGAGTAATTGTTGGTCACTGAGTACAACCTCACACAATCCACCTTCTCTTCCAGACTCAATTGCTGCGCCGCCATCTTGATATGGACGATCCTCATGATTCGTGCCTTTTTCGCATCCCCTTGCTCACATAACGCGCGCAATTTGTATTGCCTCGGTCGTGCGTGACACGCACACGGTGCTTTCAAAGATTGTATATATTAATCTGGGCCACCCTGTAGTTGTCTGCCAAGGAAATGATTAAGCAAGACTTGAAGTTTGCAATGAAATCACAAACTGATCAACTAGCCCATCTTCAGAGCTAGATCACAAGGTGGACACAGACATGTATTATTAGATGCCTGCAGTGAATCAGATATCTATAGATTGTCTACACTAGACCTGCAGAAAATTAATGATTATTTGCCTACATTTGATTACAGCTCAGATGTAGATATGATTCTGAAGTTAAGATGATCAGTAATATTTGGGCAACAAAAAAAAAAGACAGTATGTGGGAATGAAACAGAAGTAAACCAAAAAATACAAAGGATGTGACAGGTTTCCTACAGGTTTGAAGCTTTTGTATACCTTCATGTCTTCTCCACATAGTCACCAGCAACAACACTGCATTTTTGTCAATGATGGATGAGCTTCCTCCAAATCTTTCTGGAAGAAGTCATGCAAGTCATCTGCATGGACATGGCCTTAACTATGTTGTGGAATCACTTTCTGCAAAGGTGACCTGCAAAGCTGGAAACATGATAATTTAAAGGCACCAAGTCTGGACTATGCCCAGAGTGCAGAAGCATCTCTTATCCCAGTTCATTCAAGACTCCACATTTGAATGGGCAACATGAGATGTGGCATTGTCTTGTTGGAAGCACAATTCCATTGGTTAGCAATCACCTGCATTTATTGCAAGTGGCAATCTGAATGGTCACTGTAATATTCAGCATTAAGCAGCATCACACCTTCATGAAATGTTCCAGTCAGTCACTGCTGCTATTGATCTATCTGCTTGTGGTTCAGCCACAGCACTTCTGTTCTTCTACCTGTTTGCCTACTCATACATTTCCAAGGATTCTTGCAATGGCCTGACCCATCCCACAAGTGAAGCTGTGAAACTTTTTTAAAGTCAGGTACTAGCCTGAACTTAAAAATGAATCTGACTAGGTTCAAAAGTGGGTTGTACAGGCCTCTGAAGGCAGACAGATATACACAAATATTTGCTATTATTTGTTTATTGATCAATGGATGTTATTCTTTTTTGGTATGCTATGCATATACCCCATCTCTTTTCCAGAGAGGCACTGGAATATGTGGATCCCTGGATTTGGAACAGAAGACATAAAGTCAGTGAAGAAGTCTGCTTCAACTGAGGCTCACAGGCAAAGAATGGCCATCATTCGCAAGACTCTTAAGAAATGATGAGAACTTCCCTCCTTTTAGGCTATTGTTTTTGCCCTCTTCCTGGATCTCAGCACAAAGTTCTCCAGGATATTTGGAGAGGTGTGTCAATCCGGTCATATGGAGCTGTGAGATCCTGTTGTCAAGTTCCTGATGAATGGTAATCTCAGACTGTATTCATGGCCAGAATTTTTTTTTCACAAACTGAATTGTGATGGGCACTAAGGGATGAAGTGGAAACTGGAAATGACAATGAAGGGAATGAATCATGCTGCTGTTTTTTATTTTCATTTAGATATTTTGTTGACACTTTTTCTTTTGTGGTTATGTGTTTCAGATGAAAGTTTTTTCTCCCATTTGCCTTGTCCTATTCATTGACATTTGTTTTCCTTAAGGAGCTTTGTTTGCCAGCCCACTGTGCTATTCTTAATCTCATCCTATGTGCCTAGGATCCAAAAAGAAAGATAGTTCCAGTCATAATTTTTGCAATGGAACAGTTCTTTTGTTTCGTATGAGTTGCACATAATCATGTGGAAAGTTCCACATTTCCTCATGAAGCAGAATTGTATTGGGCACAAACAAAAACTAGAGAAGTACCATTGGCTCTAGTGTGAACATGCATTTAGTGCCCACCTGTCCAAAGTCAGCTAGAAGCTCCAACATCCTCATCCAATCTTGCAGAGATCTAGAGAAACTTATCAATAGATCTTGCTTCTTCAGGGATATTAGGGAAGGCCTTTCACCTTACCATTCAGGTTTGACATAATCAACTGGTTCCTTTGAAAGGGGAGTAGAAGTTCAGGATTTAAATATTCAAGGGAAACTACTCCGACTTGAAGGAGAACCCAGGCACACCAATGTTGCATTTACATAACATTGTTTTTGTGACCCTAACCCAGTCACAGATAGGATTCCAGTGGAGAGTCTGACTTCTGCATTATTCAGTGTTGCATTGGAATCAAATATGTGAAGATGGTATGCAAGAGGGTTACATATACAGGGTGTGCCAAAAGTAGGTATACATTTGTATGAACTGTGTAAGAGAGAGAAACACATGGAAATGTTAATCCCTTAGATCAGGGGTGTCAAATATATGGCCCATGGGCCAGATCCGGCCCACTGAGGTGGTTCATCTGACCCGCCATCTGTTCTTGAAATTTGCGCTTGGATTGACTGTTAGCACAAATTTTGGTGAAAAAAGTATGGGTGTGGCCCACAGGCATCTGCAGGGCAAGGAATGCAGCCAAACAACTGATTTGAATTTGACACCCCTCTCTTAGATGCTCAAAGAGTTTGCCCTCATTGTTCACACATTCCTGGATTCTCAGCCTTCCAGTATTGTTTGAGTACCCACTTGCGTTGATCAAATGTCAAATTCTCAGACATCACTGTCTATTAACTACCTGCAAATAAAAATAAAAATAAAATAGGCAACTGTATACTTTTGGCACATCCTGTATATAGGGGGTATACTAGGGGGGAAATACCCAATCCTCTCCATTGTTGTGTTTGATTCCATGGTGCCATCTTGTGTCTTTCCTCTCTGGGTTCTTATGAGAAACATAGACTCTCCCAAATTTCCTGATACATATTGCCTTTCCATGGTATAGTTGAGATAGCACAAAGGTGGTTTCAAGCTGAAGTGTCAGATGTCTTAGCTAATACCAGGTCCCCATTTAACATAGAATTCTTGGGAAAATGCATTTATTATTATTAATGTCATGTTGCTTGAGTTTATCATGATTTGAACAATGAACCACCCTTTAAGATCTTGTCATGATAACATGTGATTGCAGGATCATGGCTTTTGATCAAGTGGAAATGAGGTATTAATGCATCTCTTGAGCTCCAAAATGGCATCAAAACTTAATATGTGTCGTCTCCAAGAAAAAGCAACAAGGAGTTGAGTGAACTTAACAAAGTCTGGTACACGGGCCTGTAGCAGTGGGTCATGCAAATGAGTAGAGTTTTAAGGGTGCAGGATGAATCATCATGCTAATTGCCCGAAACAAGTTTCCAAAAGGAGTTTAGTAACGAATGAATATGTGAAACAGGAATGCCTAATTATATACAGGGTGACTCAAAAGTCCTTGGACGCCTTTAATCAAGTGTAGCATTCTCTGATGAAGACCAATTTAATTTCTGATTTGACCAGTGCAAAGATCACAAAAAACTAAACCAACCATGTTTTTATTTTTCAAAAATAACACCATTTGAGGCAATAACCTGCTTCAGACGTTTTGGGAAATCATTTACAGTTCTTCACAACTGATCAATCGACAATTCATTCCATTCCTTCAGCAGATCAAGCTTCAAGCTATTGATACTCTTGTGAGGCTTGCAGCAGACCTTGGCCTGCAAGTAGGACCACACACTGTAATCCAATGGATTCAAATCAGGTCTGCTAGCAGGCCATTCTTTTGGGAAAATCAAGTCTGGAAAGTGAGTTCTGCAGAAGTCGATGGTGGATTTTGCCTTGTGAGCTGGTGCTGAGTCCTGCTGGAATGTCCAAGGCTGGGATTTGAAATGTTCCTGAGTCCAGGGGAGTAGCACCTTCTTCAACACACTCTTGATAATAGCTGGCATTGATCTTGGCCTGAGGCTGCACAAAATGCAAGAGAGTTTTGCCAGAAGCACAAACACCACACCACACCATCACACTACCTGGTTTTTGAACTCGATGGACATATCGCTGGTGAGACTTGAAAGAGGAAAGCTTTTTACCCCAGAGGCGATTGTTTTGAGGGTTGTAAGCTTGCTCTACAGTGAAAATATTTTTGTCAGAAAAAAAGAATCCTTTGGAGTGAGGACTGGTTAAACCGTTTGAGCAACTGGCGGGACCTTTGAACTTGTTTCTTCTTGTTGATCTCTGTAAGCAGCTGCATCAGGTAAGCAGGTGCATTGTTTTTTAAAAGGCTTTATGCAGAGCTTTCCCCTGATGTATCTTCGCAAGGTCTCTTTGTCCACATTCAAGGTTTGCGCAAGCTTTCTTCCAGAATGCTCTGAATTTCGGTGTAGCATTTGCCTGACTCGTTTCTGGAGCTTCTTATCCTGGAACACGGAAGGACGTCCACATATTTGGCGATCTGCTGCTGATCCAAGCTCATTGTATCGCCGAATAATGCTGTAGATAGTAGATCGAGGGGTTTTGGTGAGCTTTCAGATCCTGCTTGCTGGAAGACCAATCTGGTTTTGAAATATCACTGCTTCTCTTTGATGTTTGGGAACCATATCGAGAGCTTTCGACCTGAAACTTGGAAGGCAAATAGATCTGTAGTAGATGTTGCTTCACTCAAAAAATTACCTGGCTATCACTTGTCCAACGGTTTTTTCAATAGGTGTCCAAGGACTTTTGAGTCACCCTGTATACAAGAATAAGCGCTAATTTCAAGGTTATAGGATGCAGAGAAAACTTACCACTTATTAAATCACACAGTGCTTTCTGCTCCTGTCAGTTGCTTTATCTTTAGTGAGGATATTCAGGCAGTTCCAAAAATGAATGATATCCTGTTATTTTATCACTTATTTTGTGCTCTTTTTCCGATTGCATAAGAGAATGAGGAGCGCACCTCTCCTCCAGGAGCTATGGTTTGAACCAGTTTGAGGGTTTCACCTCTGCATGAGATCTCGTGACTAATGTCCACAAATTCCGTTTCGCTAGGCAACAGGGAAATTCACTTGATAAATTGATCCAGTCAGAACTAGAATGACTCAAGTCAAATGTAAACCATTTGACATTGACCAATCTGATAGGACTCTTCCAATTGATTGATCTTCAGCCACTCTAATTTCATGAGTCATGCAAAGATTAATCAGCTGAACGCTGAAATATGAAGGAGAGGAGGAGCATTCATGTCAGAGATGACCTGGATGACCAGAGATGGCTGTACGACCAAGAACCCTCCGTTTTCCACCGTTCCTGTATTCTTCCTCACTTTCTCTCCGACTCGATCTTAGCCTTTTTCCTGTGTTACTGCCCAGCTCAAACCATCTCATTCGTGTTGGTGCGTATCCACTAATTTTAAGTTCCACGTTACGCTCGGCTCTTCTTCATCCAAGGTACTTTATGAAACATGCGAGCATTCTCTGCAAGGAAATTCAAGCTATAACCGTGTTCCTTAAAACCATGACATGAGTTACGCTGCTCTACGTGCTGTCCTACGAAGCCTCCATAGTTGCAAATACTTTCGTGTTCTTCATGGACTTTCTGACTTCAAAACTTTTACGAAAGTTTTCTGGTCCTCTCCTGATCTGCTGGGAAAGCATGGAACGAGAGGCTGCACAATATTGTCCAGTGAAAGCTGAAGTAGTGTATTGTACACATGGGTGGGGGGAGGTCTATGAAAATCATGGATTAAGTTTGAAAATTGTATAACAGAATCCCTCACACATGATGCTCACGTGTTTCATAGTGCATAGTGCATGCAGAAAAATAAATATATATTAGGATGAATCTTGGAACTTTAATTAATGGACGGACAATAAGTGGCGTATGTCGCGTCGCCATATCTGATGCACAATAGACTGGAAAATAGATACCAAGTCCTGATTTCAGGATTTTGGAGGAAGGATGAAGACAATGGAATCCCTCCATATGTCACAACGATTGTTCCTTCCAGGGCTTCTCCTTCCTCCTGTCTTCCCTATTTTTCCACTTCGTCCTTTGCATCCCATTGCACTGGTCAGTACACGAGTGACGAGACGTGTCTGCCTTTGCAGGGATTTCGCGTGGGGAAACCGTTTGGATGGTGTTCATTTCACTTTTCTCTGACTCATTCGGATACGGGATTTCACGAATGGGGGCTCATTGTCATGGACCTACATTTTACGGTAACGAGGACGCCTTCTCAGTGTTGTTGGTTTTCACCCGTTTACATCAGGTGAACCTCACCCGGGTAGGACGAGGCAGTAGAAGAGCTTTTCATCCCCCCCTCATTAATGCATTAGCGAGGCCCGGTGACTAGTTTTGGGACTGCTCTAATTTGAGTTCATTCAGTCTCCATCAGGTACATTCCAATTACACCGGGGCATTTTCGGGTAAGTCTCTACCTTAACAAGGTCCGGAAGATCCGATTTATCAATGACTGAAAATGTCCATCAGTCGTCTGGCTTAAGCAAAGCTCGTGCAACCAGGGCCGGCCTTAGGCATGCGCCGCGTGTGTCCCCCCAGGGCGCAAATTCACCAAGGGCGCCAAAACGTGCCAGAATGAATGAAGCTATAATGGATGCCACCCTCAATGTTACTAAAATTGAAAAAATGAAGATTTTGAAACTGGGAATGCCTTCCGTTTCGGTGTCTTTTGAACGCTAGGGATTGACCCTTCTCCCTTGGGGGAGGGTGGGGGGGGGGGGGGCGACGTTGGGAATATCTTTTTACAGGGCGCCGAAATAGCTAAGGCCGGCCCTGCGTGCAATCGTATAAAGTTGGCAAAAGGTAGGCTTTTCGAAATTTGAGAAAGAGCACTGCACAGGACGGGGCTTACTTTGGTCACTGCGCACGAAGGGTTGCTACGCATCTTGGCTATCTATGTCACGGGACGAGACGACAGGTTTCTCCCGGGAAGGGATATTTCAAAGGCTTCCGCTTAGGTCACGTGATCACAACTCCGCCCCCATATTCATCGTCTGCACTCTTGCCATTGTCCGCACGTGTTGCACTGCGCCAGCCCAGCGTGGTCATGGTGGATTTTTCCTGAATTCTTGGAGGCCTACTGGTGCTCTTCTCAGATAGCTGGTCTGACTGCTAAGGATAGGCAAAATGCCCCATCTACGGAGGGTCGTTCAAACTCTGTACAGGTTCGAAACATGAGAGGCTCCGCAAGTTAGTGAGCATTCATTTTCAATGTACGTGGTATTTTTATGGCGCAATCAAGGAGATGAGGGCAGGGACGTAGCCAGGAATTACTTTCGGGGAGTGTCTTCTGAGGCTCTTTCGGGCTCATGAGATGACGAAGTGGCCGAGGAAGGTGATTGGTTGGGAGGAATGAGGAAAATTCAAAAGCCCTTTTGAGACTTCAATCCCACCGACCTCATAGTTCAAATAGCCCCTTCGCCTTCCAAAATTTCAATGTTTTTTGCATGGAAAGATATGGGTCAAGGGCTGACCTTGAATTAGTCATAATGTAGTGGGTGAAAGCTACTCCTGAATCATGGTTTGCTACTGGAACGAAAAAAAAAACTGGTAGAGCAATGGAAGCAAAATGGGAGGAGGCACTGTATTGGTTAAGAGTGATTGTATTCAGAAGGTGGAATAGGAGTACAAGTCGAAACTTTAGTTGTACAATATATGTAGAATTTTTCACCCCCTCCACTCCTTGTGGGACTGGGGAGTGAAAGGCAGAGCCGTACCGACGGGGCTGCCAGCGGTGCGCCCGCACAGGGCGCCAATTTTCTGCCAAATCGCTACAAAATATGAATAAAACTTATGAAAAAAACTTGCATATTATCCTGAATTTAAAAATTAAATTTATGAATTAATACTTAATGTATTGTTGGTATTGGGGAAGCTGGAAAGGTATAGAGGGGGAGGGGGGAGGCGCTGGGTTGATATCTCGCACATGGCACCAAATATCCTCGGTACCGCGCTGGATACTGTTATGCATTTCTGGGTCTTTTACTTATTTTCTCGAAAAGTGGGGGGGGGGGGGGGGACGTGCCCCCCCTTGCCCCCGACGCTATGCCACTGCTTCCATCCACTTCTCCCTTCTAGAAATAATTCAATCACGCTTTCCTCGGATGTTTGGCATCAATAACACGGAAAGTGGGTCAAGGGTCAAGAAATGAATGGTGATTGTAAAGATTTAGAATGTCATTGCATTTCGTTCAACGAAGCGGCAAAATGAAACCCCTTTTTTCAGTACATTTCACAGAAAGTGAAAGGCTTTATTTCACACGCAAACAGGAGCTGAAGAGTGAAACATGATTGGCATTTAGGTGCATCAGGGAATTGAATCCTGTGTACGACGAGGAAACAACCCTTGAAATCTTCTTGAAGAACGTTCCTTCTTAATTTATGATCGCTACAATTAAGAACTTGAGTAACTTCTGCCAAAAAATATGTTGGCAGTGCTGATGCATGCGTAAAAATGTGTTTTCAAATTTAAATTTTGGATTTTTTATAGCACTTTTTCTCTATTTTTTCATGATAGAGATGTATGTGCAAAGGAACTATTCTGGGCTACTGTAGAACCACAGTTACTCATAGCAAGGGACACCCACTGCCAGAGAAGCGACGCTGCAGCTAGAATGAAACTGTCCCCAAAACCCAAGTCATTGCTCTTTCGAGAAATCTTGTACATGTTAGGGCGACCCTATAGGAACAGGTGAAATTGAAGCACCTTGGGCTATGGTTCTCGAGTGTTGGGTGATATGGAGAAATGATCGACAATTGCATATCCAGCAATAATGCGTGAAATCTGGCGGGCCGAGGTTGTCAATTGTGAAAAAAAGCTTATCTGGAATTCCCTGAATTCCAGAGAAATGACACTCGGTTAATTTATCTCCCACTCTCACCTATGGCTATGAATTCTGCGCAATTACTGAAAGAATTAGATCGCGGATACAAGTTGCCGAAATGAGGTTCTTGCATCGGGTGGTCCGCGTCACGTGATCGGATGCGGAGTGCCGAGATCCGTGAGAACCTACAGACTGAGCTGTTATCGAGCCGGATCGATAGATCTAATTACTTCCGGTGGTTGGCCATGTATGCCGCATGTCCTCTTAAAGACTCCGGGAAAGGGTTTCCCAGTCCAAGATGACCGAATGAAAACCTATCGGGAGATTTCCCATTAGGTGGAAGGACAATGTTGCGAAGCTATGCCACGAAAGGATCGGAATCCCAACTGCTAAGCTCAAATCTGTTGTTGCCTAGGATCGGGAACGTAGGAAAACGCTCGTGGGGCTAATTTAACTGCGATCACATTAAGGAGGGAGGGACGGTCTTGAAATTATTTGCATGCTTGTACATGTATTTCTCCATGAATCATAGGATCCTCCCCTATTATCCGCCACGGGTGCCATAACTTGTATCGGGTGTACCCGCAAAGGAGTACGCCCAAAACCCTAAGGCGACGAGGCCAATCGCGTCTACTGGCGTCCTGGAGGTTTTCCGTTAACTTTGTCTGGTAGAATAAAATTGTCCATGGGATTTTCTAAATCCGTGCTCGACGTCGAGTCAGAAGTGAAACATGATTAGATACTTTTTTGGCTTAAAAAAATGAAAATACTGAAGGGTCTCTTGATTTGGTCCATGAAATACCACTACGGGGAGGTGAACCATCTTTGCTTTCCTTAACCTGACACGGACTCTTTCTTGAGAAATTCCAGAGTCCACCAAGGATGCCTCACTACTTAGGCGATTGATGCATCCGCGCTGCATTAATCGCCTCTGCAATTCCGCAACCGAAGTGAGGTATCTCAGTTCAGTTGCGAGAACCTTGCCTCTTTGAATAACTCAGTTGAGTTGCTGTGCCTCAATTACTTTTTGCTATGCATTTCTTGACCGATAACTCCTGACCTCAAGATCCAATAGGGTCGAAATCATGAACATTATTTAATATAGGGTGAAACGGCAAAACCCGAACACCTGAAGGTTGAGTCGAATGCACAACCATATGGTCGAGATGACCGCTATAATGTGTATTCGACTCGACCTTCAGGTGTTCGGGTTTTGCCGTTTTACCCTACTTGTCGAGATGTATTAATATTTAAATGCACCCCTGATTGGGCGCGGTTGGACGCTTTGGAGCATACTCCTTTCTACTCCTTTCAATCTCAAAGAAAATAAAGGTTTTCCAATGGAATGCTAATTTTCAGCTACCCTGTGCATAATTCATGTAAAGTATCTGCATGACATCATCCTTGTCCAGCATGGAGAGCGCGCTGATCTCTCGCATGGCCACTGCCTTTAAGGAAAAGGCAAGAAACAGATCCACCATCTGTTTCGATGTACTCAGAATGAAATTGGGAATATATTCCCAAAACATTCCCACACGAGCTCAGGAAGGAGTTTGTTTCACCGTTTCTGAATCTGGTCGTCGGCCGCGAGTTGCTCTGTGATTGGATAGAGGGTGGATAGATGGAAGTGTAGTAGTCACGATGGCCGCCCACTCACCTTCCATGCGATCTCCATCACTCCCCCACCTAGGTGTGAATGAAGGAGGATGAGTGACGGGGAGATGGGCTTGAGTTCTCCGAGTGCATGCAGCGGCCCCCCCTCCGTCGTATCTTCCAACTCTACACTTTGCTGTACCGGTGGACCACCTCGTGGGAAAATGGATGTTGCCTGTGTCATCGATCTCCAAACTGACAAACTTGGTCATCGTCACATCGCCTTCGAACACATCAAAACTGCTTGTTCCTCTATTGGAGCCACTTTTCATCATGTCCAGGTCTCCCTGATGACGAAGGCTACAATAGTTATAGTTTGCATAGACCCATGATATTTTGGACTCATATAACTTTAGGCCCATAATATTTTGGACTCACCTAACTTTAGACCCATTTACAGTGTTTTTCACTTGAGTTAGACATTTTTTCACTTGACTTCGACAACGGTGCATGGTGAGGGTGATATAGCGGATCGACGCAGAAACTAGGAGTTCCATACTTAAGTACAGATGTCGTGATGACATTGCCGACAACGATGATGATTAATTTCCTGCTGAAGAAAGGAAAATCAATATGAACCTTCCCAAATGCACAATATATTGAAATGATAATTTAATGTAGTGAAAAACTAGGCTTTTGTGTCACTCATTACTGTTTTCCTTAATATTTCAATAATACAGATGAAATTTTGGGCATCGTTCCTGGTTTCTGAAGTAAGTCCCCACGCTGAACTCACGTAGGCTAGATTAGACCTATCTAACGTGGATCTGGGATTGTCCATTGAAGTCCGATCCAGTGTTTCTACATCGTTGAGCTGATAGGAAATTGAGAACTTAGAGCCTTTTTTTTTTAATAGACTGCAAGGAAGGTCTCACATTGACAACATGGCTATGATGCAGTTCATCGTTTCCAGTACATAGTTTGATTCATATGAACAAGCCTAAATATTCGAAGGAAAGAAAGATGTCGCTAGTCACCAGGGGCAGCTGCGCCCTCGCCTCCTCTCTGAATACCCCTCGCATCGGTGTCTTAGTCAAGTGAAAAATTGTCTAACTGAAGTGGAAAACACTGTAAACTGTCTATTGACTGAGCTGGGAATCATGACATTGCTCCCAGTGTGATAAAACTTCCATCAGCTCACCGAATGCAGGCATGTCTTTCATGATAGAGGGTGTTTGTTGGAAGAATTTGAGCATTCTTTTTCCACCTATCAGCACAAAACTAGGCTACTCTTCATAACCGAAGGATATTATAGTCATTTAAAAGCTTCTTACATTATTTCAGGATAGGAAATAGATGGCATGCAAATTAACTGATTTAAGGTGTCTCATATTGGGAAGTTGTTAATTTTTTTCTTGGCCTGGGGGCACCTGCTTTGAAATAAAATAAATAATCCATTAGGGGTCTATTCCCTGCACACTGTTTGGGCTTTGAGTGAGCCCTCTACCCTGACTATTTGGTTTTTGTGAAGTCTTTCATCTCTATAGGTACTTGTGTTGAAATTGTTGGATACATTATACATGGCACTTGTAACATGATGAAAGCCATCACTCTGGAATATGCAATAGCATTTGTGACTTTTAGGCCTAACCTTAGAGATCCTTTTTCGCTTCAGAAAGCCATCTTGGTCACAACTTAGAGGCCAAGCTCTCTTCTATTGAATGTAGGTGAAATCAACTGAGGAGAGCTATGAGTCAGGTGACTTTCAGATTGTCCCTTATATAAGGGCCAAGCCAGCTCAGCCAATAGACACTGCCTAAACTTTATTATAGGTAGATGGGTCATAGGTCTGTTAGTAGGCCAGGTCTAAACCATTCCCAATGTAAGTTTGCCTGAGGTTTCAGTTTCCTGTATCCTACACTGTTTCCGGATTGAATTCGTACCCCCCCTTAGGTGCGCTTCCATCAAGTGCAGGTAGGACATCTTTTGGAAGGAAGGTGAAGTATTAGGAGAATCCTCCATGGGTGTCTAATTTTTGATCAGCTGAGCCCTGCGCGGTTGCTTAGATTTGGATTTGGCAAAACTCGTGATGACAAGTATGGTGATTTGGATTATTTATTCCTTATGGATTAGGCCTGGGACCTGATGGGTAATTGAGAATGTTGCATGCTTAGGATTGTATCTCCTCTTGAATTGTCATTTTTGCCATGGAAATCCAGGTTTCTGATGGCAGAGAGAAGAGTCAACCAATATAAAGAGGAATAGTAGTAAGTAACGGTGAAACGAGGGCAAGAAAGTAAGGTATTTCAAAGGACAGAGAATGGGAAATAATGAGGCTAGCCGTAACCACTATAGGCGAAACTGAGAGTCTCACAACCGCAATTGGCAATGTTTTTGTCTCATCTGCACTGTTATCTGCATTGCTGGGTCCATTCCCTGCAAGATGGAATTATTTAATTGTGTTGGTGTTGGGTCTTTCTCTGCTGAGAAGGGCTGGAAACGGACCACAAAGAGGCATTCGCTGCATGTGGCCATCCCAATGTTTCAGATGACAATTATCTGTAAATAATCTGAAATGCTATGATGATTGCCGCAAGAAGTCATGATTCACGAAGTCTCTTCCTGCTGAGGGGCCTGCAATCTTCAGCTGTCCTCGCGCAGATGATGTTAAACAACATGCAGTGATGTTCGAAAATGGGTTACCATTTTCCAAGAGCATTCAAGGACTGGAGAATTTCCTTTCATGGTTGTTCTAGTTATTGACCTCATATTATTGCCAGAGAATAAAAGCATATTTTCTTCTTTGTGGTCATCCCAAAAGCGAAATTATCACCAACGATCTGACAACCGTGCAGAGCAATAGGCTTGACATCTAGCAGATCATCTAGAAACCTTGTGTTTTCCCCATTCTCCACAGTAGGGGGGTACAAATTCAATCCGGAAACAGTGTAGAAAGGCAACCTTGGTAGGATGTTTAAGCTCTCTATTTGATGGATGTTTTTCAAGATTCTTATGGCCATGTACTCTCATATGAAAGTGATCATGTGAACAACATTTTACTGTTGCCATAATTGTTAACTTGGAAAGGGGACTCGATTTGCTTGATGAGAGCATCTCAATTATTTATTTACAGTCTGTTATTATTTACAGCTATATTGTCTCCTTTTATGTTTTGTCAGTTCAGGCATCTAACTACCTAGAGCTAGCATGAAAGGGGCAGCCACTGCAGCATCCCCTAACTCATTTCATGCATTCACTACCCAAGAACAGCTAACTACTACTTCAAGTCTTCCTCACTGTAGGCAAGCAAATCTATGAAGTGATAGTGTATTCTGAGCATGTTCTTTGTTAACTTTTCTGTTGTGGCTCAGAAGAACCTGTTAAGATGTTAAAAGATTTTGCTGCAGTCACATGTTGAATGTAAATATGTATAAGCTTGTACTTTGGCCATAAGCTGTCTCTCCCTAGCCTAACATGGCTGAGTGCCTGAAACATGACCTAAGGACCCAAGAACCTACCTCTCTCTAGTTCTTTTTATTCTTCAAAGTACCAAATTTGCCCTCACTGCCCTCAAAGATGGAAATAATGAACTTTGTCACTCTTGAAGGTTGTGAGGGAAGTTAAGAATATATATTATAGAATATAGAAATATATAACTATAATAAATTTCTCATATTTAGTGGGCCTTATTATCTTTTGCAGTTTGAGAGGCTGGATTTTGGGGAGACAAATGTGTTGGATGTTTTCTACAATGCTGATGTGGCTGTGGTGGACCTATCTGTACAACTGCAGCAATCATCATTATTCTATCACTTGGGAGTGAGAGAGAGTTTTGGCATGAGGCAAAATATCCTCCTTTGCAACAGCCGAGAATCCCACATCTCAGTTGCAATGAAGGTCTGGATTCTGTTCATTTATTCTTTGTAGGTGTAGGCTTCTTGTGAGTTTGTGCCCATTTTATCTGACTTCTTAGGTTCAATTTTTACAAGCAATATAATGCAGATGCAAAGATGTAACATTTTTACTTGCATATAGCATCATTTTGCTCATATCAATTACTGTTAATCGTATGAATTGTATTTTAACCTGCACTTCTCATAGTGGGATCCAGCTTGACTTCCATTGCTACCTTTTTCATAATATTTTAAAATGCTTCATGATACAACTATTAAGTTTCTTGACTTTTCTCCTGAGTACTACAAGAATTAAGCCCTGCTCAGCTTATTATCTTGCATACATTCACATAAAAGCACTTGCTCCAATGTTTTAGGATTGCTTTCTATACAACAGTTGGGAAAAGTATATATTTCCTTTTTCAATGCATCCAGTCATTCCAGTGTAGGGCTCAATGTAAGATATTGTGTGCACCTCAATTTTTTATTTAGCCAAGCTGAGGTTTTAAGATGTAAAAATGAGGCACATAAGCCCTTTGAGGATGAGATGCTTAAAAGGGTCAAGAATGCATGCTCATAATATTTTTCAAATTCAATATGATTGAGGCCTTGGCTTGAAAAGAGCAACAGGGATGTAAGATCTATTTGGAGTTCTGTTGTTCATAGTCTTTGTCTATCTTTCCCAGCAGCATGAAAAATGTTAGCTGATTATTATTTTCTTAATAGGACCATTGTGAGTCATACTGCAAAAATACAAGCATAAGAAACATACCCTGAAGCCTACTTACCTAGGTTATTACATTTGAATAATACTCTAGAGTTTAGACAAAGTTTTCTATCTTTGAGAGACTTTTTCCATACAATCTAAGCAGTTTCAGTATAAAAGATTGCTGAATGCTGAATTATTGGTAGACAAAATAAGTCTGATCAATGTTTTTGATACCATTCATTCTTCTGGACAATATCATTTCCCTCTGATTCTTCACTGTTATACAGTTGAGGTTGATCCTGGGTCATTATCTCATGGACTTATGAGAGGTTGCCCATAGGGTTCACAGGATTGGCTTAAGCCCCAGAAGTGAAACACATTCTTTGTGAATACTACTTTGAGACTGCTCCTACTTGGTGCTGCTTGTAAAAGTCTTATTTTAGAAGTCTATTTCATATTCAATTATGAAAGATCCTTTTTGAAAAATTTTGCAACATGGTTCTGCTATCAAATCTTACTAATTACCAGTAATTCTCTCCCCTTGCATTCTTCAAGTCTTGAAGGTGTCCTACCTAAGGGGTGTCTTTGTATAATCTAAGTAGTTGTGGAGATATACTTTACAGTGTCTCATTGAGTCTTAATGCTATGTTGAAAGAAGACAAGTGGAAGACACTTAAGACTTTCAGGAGTATGGACGTACCAGTACATCCCACTTCTTTATGTGAATGACTTTGAACAGATAGCTTTGAATTTAAGGGGTGCACACACCTCCAGGAAAACCCACTCCTGAAAGGGTTAAGGATAAACCAAAGAATAAAAAATGAAGAAATGTGTTTTCCTCCCAACAGCATCTTCATGCCATCATGTATAACCAATTTCCTTCTACATCCTCTTTCAGTTGTCTTGTAGCAGTTATACATTCATGGCCTATGAGATCTCGGATGCTAGAGATCAATGCATTGTGGTGGATTGGGCAAACCGTCTCACTGGCTCAGTTGTTGGGGAAGATGCCTCATCCTGTTCTGCTGAAAAAGGCCTTTCCCTCAATGTCCTCATGAAGTGCCTCTTGCGAGATGTTGAAATCCAGGCCAAGTTTGTCTTCATATCTATTGTTTGAAAAAATCACTGATATATTTTTTTATTGATTTCAAAATATTGAATGAGACCAATACTTTTCACTTTCTAGGAGAGATTGACTGTAGAAAATCTTTTTCAAAATGGAAGAATGGTGCTAAATTTTGAAAGTGGCTGTTCTCTCAGTTTTTAGAGATGATCTTTGAAGTAGAGCATTTATGCTTGCATACATCTAGTGGTGTGTAGTGGCCTTGGAGCCATCTTGAATTTTGATGTTTGCAGTGTTCTGCTTGTGAAATCCAGCAATTGCTTGGGTTCACTTGTGGTGATATAAAAGTATAGATTGCAAGGACCCAGGGCTAGAGACCTATTTCAAGGGATAGGGGGCCTACTGCAGCCAAGGTTGAAAATAGTTGAAAATCCCTCCTTTCTTCTTTTTTTTATTGATGTATTTATAAATGAGAAGTCTGATAGTTTTTAAATAGTACCCTAGCCATCTCTTAGTTGGGGCTTTCTTGAATATCAACATTCTGCTGTGTGTATACCAATCAATAGCAGGATCCAATGCCAGTGGTGAATGTTCATTTCAATTGCCTGAAAATTCAAATCCATATCAAAGTGCATTTATTATTGAACTGCTTCACAAAGCATATCCATAGTGAATTGTTGAAAGCGATGGATGGGAGTGGCCCCTCATATACTGTGGCTGAGTAGGTGCATTTGTTCAAAGATGGCTGCCAGTCCCTGGAAGATGATCCCAGGTCTGAATGTCCAATCTCACCTGCCTTATGGAAATATCACTCTGTGATTGAACTTGCTGGAGATTATGGAAAGCAAACAATTTATGAAAGTGGGAGAGGTGGGTCCATCTCATGGCACAATCAGCATCATTATCAATGAGCATCTGTGCATGCAGAAGACCTGTGGAAGAGGAAACTGATTCCTCTTGTTCTCACACAAGCACAGAAGATTTGGCAGAAACAGCTGTAGCTCTGCTCAGAAAATTCAAGGCCTTGGGGACTCAAGCATGTAAAAGCATTCCCACCAGAGATGAGACAGGTTGATTTATATGAGCCCCCATAATAGTTGCAAAATATACCATGGATAGTGAAAGTGGCACTTGACCATCAGTTGCTCTATGCCAGGTGAGTTTGGAGAAGTTACTTTACACAATCTTCCAAACACCAAAGGAGCTTTTGGTCCATATACCAATACCAAAGTTCACGAGTACTTCCCAGTATAGTTTTCCTTCAGGTGATCAATGCATTCCAGAAACAGTATCCAGGTGTCTACTGCTCCATCCTGACTCTGTTCAGCATTCTGTAATTGCTTTGGACTTTCTGGAGTAGGTAAATGAGGCAATTGAGGTCCTACATCCCTTATTCACATGCCCTGGCTCCTTACACTTTTTTTTATTTTTCCCCACTTTGAAGATTGCATTATTCTGAGAATGGTACAGAAGTCAATATGCTCTGGAATCAGCAAATTTGCAGTGCCCTACAGAACACTATAAGTCAGTTACTTCCAATGGGGAAGTGGAAAAAGAGATTGCTAAAACATAAACTTTCAAGAGGGTCAAGGAGATGATGTTAAAATAGCAGAGGGACTTTTGTCTTCATGCAGAAATAGAGGATAAATTTTTCTATTATACAGGAACTTACTGACTGACCCTCATAAATCCTTAATCCAGCCCTTGATACATCTGACATTTGAGAAGCCACAATACTTCCATTCATTGAACCACTCTTTGAATGCAATTGCATGCTTTGTGAAGTCAGATATTGTGAGAAATGACCTCTTTGGTCTGATACATGGTTTGCAATATAGTTTCTAAGATTAGATCCATTCTGCAAGGTGAACTTGTTTCCTTTGAAAAGTCACTTGAATAGGTTATGTTTCTCATTCAGTTACCCATGCACACTGTTAAGTATTCCAAGGGCCATCGCAATATATTGATGATTTTATCAAGCATCACTTTGCATTGGCAGACTGAAAAGGAAAATACCATAGTCAAAATTTGTGGTTGCAAAAGTGATGGGTAAGCTGGGAAAGTGGGAGAAAGGGAGAAAAGAGCAAAGGAGGAGGACAAAGTGATAGAAGCCATTCTGAGCACAGGATGGGATAGAGCAAGAAACCAATCTTATTTTTTACACCACTATTTACTTATACTGGCTTCTGCCCTTCATGGAAGAGACCACAATACAACACTTTATCAGGTGTTGCACATAGATAGCCCCCCCTCCACAGCCTAAACTATATGAGCTAGAAAAAAGGTAAAGATATATATCGGGAATCCTTGTTCAATTTTGATTATATTCAATCCCATTTGGTTGTTTGAGATGTCATATGATAGTGAAGAACTTAGATTCATTGATCGCCTCCTTGCTATTAAGTTTCTAGAAACTTGTGATGGAGCTGAATTTGTTACCCATTTGTGGGTCCTCTCAGTCCCAGATGTAACTCTTCTAAAGGATAAAGCTCCATGTTTTAAAGCTTTGACCACACAGAAAATGCTAAAAAACACAGGGATTGATTTCTTAGAAAATGCTGAATGGCCCCTCCCAAACTGAAAGAAAACATTGGGGCTATCCTGAAAGGTTGAGATGAGGTTCTCATGCACATGGAGGACAAGCAGCATGGATTCTCCCAGAAAACCTTGCAAAGCAACATCACTAGAGTTTTGAAGGGTTTGGAAGATGACACGGAACTCTTAAGCGTCTTTTGTCATCTTATCCCACTCATCTTAAAGCTGTCAGAGATGCAGCTGAGGGGCACACAAATTACAAAAAGTACAGGTTTAGATTTGAAAATGAATGCTCTTTCTCATGATGTATGTGGTTTTTCCCTAGCTCTTACAGTTGAGGCTGTGGAGGGGGGGCTATCTATGTGCAACACCTGGTACATAAAAACTCCACATGATCTGTGGCCTCTGCCACAGGTGTAAAATCTTCATTTGAAGTTATTTCCATCCTTTCATTTTCTCTTTCTTCTCAGTTTGCCAATGATGATTTATTTTCAAATGTATAAATTCACCATCCATGGTTCCAGTTGATGAAAATACTTTCTCAAACCACTTCCATGACAGCCCTTTTTGCAATATGCCTACCAAAATGGAATTTATTGAAATATAATGCTATGTTTATTATCCTGACCATGAGGATTGAGGTAGTGTCTGTCAGGAATAAAATTTCTATTTAAAACATAGAGCTCATATGAGGGAGAAGTTCCTGAATGACCTGAGGAAAGCAAGGGAGAACTTATCAGGAACTGAATTGGCAACAGCACTTGGGAATCTGTGCCGGCGCCTTGATGACCCAAACCTCATTTCTGGGGATGTCATTCTCAACATGCTCATCTCCTTCCGGGAGATCCAAGTGAGTTCCAGCAAATTCATAGGTGTTGCACCCTTATACCAATGTCACTTTTCACAGACCCCATGTCTATTATGCTTCTTTGTTGGAAAAAAGGGTGAGTATGGGTCAGTCTGTTTCTAAGTACCTGTAGTGTTCCATGATTCTTGTTGTTCATACTAATAAGTGAGAAGTTATGGGAATTATGCCTAAAGCCTCATGGGCAACAACAAAATTTTTCAGGACTATGATGCGATGGTTCAACTGGTTGACAACCTGAACACTGTGCCTAATCATAGAGACTGCCTTAAGAGTCCAGCCATTATATTCTCCTATGCATTTGCTCTCAATCGGTGAGATTATCTTATGATGATGAAGACCTGTGAGTATACAAGAGTGGAAGTGACAGGACAACATGCAAATGTTTGCATTTTAGCCGCAATCAAGCAGGTGATCGGGAAAAAGCTTTAGAAGTGATCAGGAACGCCTTGGAGAAGAAGGAATATCTTGTACCAGATATCATCTGCCTGTGTGGTCGTATATACAAAGATAAGTATGTGGAAAGTGGGCATGCTGACTTAGAAAGCCTTGATCAAGCGATCTATTGGTATCGGAAGGGATTTGAGGTTCAGCCCAATGAATATGCTGGTGTGAATCTTGCAACCCTGCTCAAGATCAAGGGGAACACATTTTCCACTTCTGCTGAACTCCAGCATATTGGTGAGTTTCCTTGTTTTAAAATTTTGGTTGTCAGTGCCGTTAATAATCTGAGAAGAGAGTGAACATTAATTTTGACATTTATCAGAAAGAAATGAATAATCCTTTTTTTGACTGAAGAATGATAATTGAGCTGTATTTTTCTTTGTAGCAGGGAGCTGAGGCTCTCATTTCTCAGGTGGAATACATAATAACATTGCTCAATTATCATATCAGGTCATCCCATAAGTAATGCGGTTTTTTCACATTGCCAAACTTGTGTCTTGTTTATACGTGTATCTGTGCACATCTCATGGAATATTTCTATGCTAACTTGTGTAGACGTTAGTCTTCAGTCTACATGTAGGTTTTAACGAGTTAACAGTGCTCCGTTTTTCTTAGACAAAAACAAGATGGAGGTGTCAGAGGAACACATTCGGCATATAATGCTTTATGAATTTAAGAAAGGGAATAACGTGACTGCAGCCACAAAAAACATTCAAGATGTTTTTGGTGAGGAAGCTCTAAATGCAAGGAAATGCCAATGGTGGTTCCAGAAATTCAGGTCTGGCGACTACAGCTTAGCCGATGAAGCACTTTCAGGCTGACCTGTTGAGTTCGATGATGACCTGCTGATAGCCACACTTGAAGAAGATCCTGCTGTAACAGTTGAAGAACTTGCCCAGAAACTCAATTTGACCCATTTCTCTGTTCATTGCCGCTAGGAAATGACGGGAAACAACGGCTGGGAAAAGTGTCAAAACTTGGAAAGTGGGTTCCACATGTGTTGTCACCAGACAGTCTTAGAGATCAGGAAAACATTTACGTTTCACAGCATTCTTGTGAACTTCAAGCACCGTTTTTGAATCAACTCATTGGCAGGATAATCTTCAAGTGTGGCTACCTGCAGGTCATCATCGAACTCAACAGGTCGGCCTGAACGTGCTTCTTCGGCTAAGCTGTAGTCACCAGACCTGAACTTCTGGAACCACCATTGGCATTTCCTCGCATTTAGGGCTTCCTCACCAAAAACATCTTGAATGTTTTTCTTGGCTGCAGTCGCGTTATTCCATTTCTTAAATTCATAAAGCATTATATGCCAAATGTGTTCCTCTGACACCTCCATCTTGTTTTTAACGTCTAAGAAAAATGGAGCGCTGTTAACTCGTTAAAACCTACACATAGACTGAAGACTAACGTCTACACAAGTTAGCATAGAAATATTCCATGAGATGTGCACAGATACATGTATAAACAAGACACAAGTTTGGCAATGCGAAAAAAACACATTACTTATGGGATGACCTGATACTTCAGTCATGATTATTGTTCTCAGAATTGTCAAAATTGCACATGTCACTTTTTGTTGGATTGATAATTTTTCCAGGAATTGATAAGAGCTACAGTTTGGTGATGAGCTCTTCTGTGTTTCCAGGGTTGGTATTGAATAACCTCATAGGTCGCAAGGGAAGTCTGGCATCCTTGAAGGACTATTGGGATGTAGCCACTTTCTTTGAAATCTCTGTATTGGCTGAAGATTACGGAAAAGCATTGCAGGCCGCTGAATGTATGTTCAGGCTCAAGCCTCCCAACTGGTGAGTTTCTAAGAAGTTATTGACATGACCCTCACCTTTGCTAGACATAAAGGGTGTCCAAGAAAGGTAAACCATATTTTACCATGCTATATTTTTTACTCACAGTATGGATAGCACATGCTGCTTTCACAAAATAACAGATCACCTGATAGGTTTGTTTTTTTTTTCAGTGTATTTTCACTGGCTTTCACCCCTTGTTCTGTTAGCACAGTATCAATTAGACATGGTGTCTTTGCAAGAAAAGGTGAAATGTGTGTTGAGGTTCACTGCATTCAAGTCCCTTATTCATGTTCAGCATGAATGTAGACATGTTTATGGCAGAAAGCCACCAACCCCCAAATTGATACTGAAATGCTACCATCGATGCACTCCACAATGTCTTTGCTTGTTCTGGGCCTAACCTTTGCTCCACACTACATGTCTTCTTAAATTGATGAAATACCAGGTTGTGGAATACTCCACTTAATGGAATACTATTGCATGGTCCCAATTGTTGTTACGATACAGTAGGATAGTTTCAGTTATTAGAATACTCTGGATTATAGAATAAAGTGTAATGGTCCTGTGAGTATTCCTCAACCCTTCATGGCGGTTTTCATGTACACTGTACGTTCATCACTTAGGAGGTCAGGTCAAAAATCAGCACTTAGAGGGTTAATGCAGAGTTGACTACATTTTTATTGATGCAAAGAAGTTTTTGGACTGGTCCCATAGTTCACTTTTAAGTATTACCACCTTGTACTGGGTCTCCTTCAATATACACTCTTTCAAATGCAATATACCTGCTCTGATATTTCTGCAACTACTGTGGACCCTTATGAAACTCTTCAAATGTATGTATGGAAGAAAGAATTCACATTATGGTGAACATCATGATAATCATCATAGTGTTAGCATTCCATTAGAGGCTTCCAACATGGGGAAGAGGGAGAAGTCTGAGGGTGGTAGGTCCTGAGAAAAAGGGAAATGGTCTAGCACAGAGTTGCACAAAGTAGGTGTTCACTAAGACACTTTGTTTGCTGCATGCAACCTGCAGGCCACACTTTGGCCACCCCTGGTCTAGAACAATGACAAATTGCTTCACAAGGAAATCCCTCTTGAAAGAAAGCCCCCATTAAGTTTTGTCAGATCAAGACAATACCCCTCATGTTTTTTAACAGTGCCAGAATTGTGGAGAATGACTCGATGATAAAACTTAACTTTGGTTCCAACCCCAACTTTTTGACTTCATGTATGGTTGTGGAAGGGTTCTTTGGGCAAACATCTAAAGAACAGTGAGGACCAGAATTGATTTATATGAATTGCTTTGGATTCCCAGCATTTACAGTTTCTGCCTACCCACAGGTGGCTGAAAAAGTCCTTATTGAGGCAGCTATAAGAATGCAGAGATGTCTGGCCTCTGTCAAATTTTTTAGCTAGCAAAATATGTAAATATCCCTTACCTATTATGCCCAGGGTGACAGTAATCTATGCACCTCTCTGGTCAGCAGAGATGAGGCAGATCACAATATTAATCTGAGCCTATTCTAATGGCCCATTTTGTTTTATTTCTTTTTCATGTTTAAGATTTTAATGACTTAGCAATATACCTTGTTCTAAACTGAATGATTAATAGAATTGCTTCATGTTGACCATATCCAAGCAACCACTTTTTGAGAGTTTCATAATGCTTTATTGCATCTTGAGCTATTTTGTCAATGTGCCATGCTTGAATCACTCAATTTAAAATAATTCATATTGTAATATCCTTAAAATCTGAAATATGAAAAAGAAGTATGACTAAATGAGCTATTAGAATAGGCTAACTATAATCCTGTGGTCTCACATCTCTGCTGGAGGAGATTGCATCTATTTTTTGCACCCCATATCTTTGAATTACTAAAACATGTATTCTTATGCAAGTTTTCCAATTCTAGGAGGAGTTTTTTGAAACAGACCTACAAAATTATCAGGAAGAAGATTCCAATGGATTTTTAGATTGAGAGTGATATATTCCCATGACTGATTCATCTGAACTGCTTCAACTGTATCAAATATCTTTATAATTTAACTTCTTTGTTGTATTTTATCCATGAGTCTTGGGAATTCAACCTTTTAACTGGGGAGCAATTTAAAAGGAAACTTTCACATTGTGTGGAGAATTTTTCACACTTTTGCCTCTGAATGCAGTTTTGATGAATACAGTGATGTTTCTCACTTTTTGAACTATGTCAGTGTATTGAGGTGCACTGTTATTTTAAGAAAGTTTTTGGAGAGTGGATTTATCTTTGCTCCCCAGTTTACAAATGTTTTCAGAGCACAGAAAAAGCTGCACTCCCCAGTTAAGGGGTAAATCTTGAATTCTCTTCCTAATATATTGAAGATCTCTTATACAGGGTGATTATAAAGAAACTTCTGCACTTTACTGTTCAATATCTCAGAAATGCTATGAAACAGGAGGCTGAAATTGCACAGAGGTGTTACAGGGACCATGCACTCAAAGATGCCATAGTTTATCGCATGTAGTCAGGGGTGCCACTGTGACTTAAAAATGTCTCATTAATCATAGCAACTGTTCAATATGTGCTCCCTCAGTGTCCAGAATGCACAACTAATAAGTTTCTTCAGAGGGACTGCAGTGTTCCAGAACTTTTTGGCTCTGTATCTGTGAGTCTTCTGAAACAGATACTAGTGGTACACGGCACACACATGTAGGAGTGCTGGATGTGTGAACCATGCATGAATCAGCAAGACTCTTCTTCGAGGTCATCATGTTTCACATATGATGCATCAATAATCAAACCATGCATGCAATGATTTTGTACATGGATGCATTGATCAATGAAATCAGAACCCATACTTCCTTACTCATGCCATCATGGTTGGCTGTTGGTCTTAGAATGTAATTTGGATTTAATTTGTGTGCTGCATACCCCTAGAACCTGTTTCAGAACTTACAGATATAGAGCCAAACAGTCCTAGAACATTGCAGTCCCTCTGAAGAAACTTATTCGTTGACCATTCTGAACACTGAAGGAGACATATTGAACAATTGCTGTGATTAGTGAGACATTAAGTCACATTGGCACCACTGATTACAACATGTGATAACTAAGGCATCTTTGAGTGCATGGTCCCCATAACATCACTGTGCAATTTCAGCTTTCTATGTCATCCTGTTTCTGAGATATTGCATGGTAAAGTGCAGAAGTTTCTTTATAATCACCCTGTATTTCTAGGGATAGATTTTGAGTAATGGTATTTGATGGTCTAGATTTGAATCTATAGTTCATTTATGGAATTTAAGAGTTGCAAACAGGTAAGGAATATTAGTGCAAGCAGAGGCAATATAGATTCCAAGCATGGAACTAGTAAGAATGTCTTTTTTTGTGTTCTATGTTGTGAGAGATTGACCAAGTTTTGAACTACAGGGTGTCCCAGAAACCCAGCCTAAAGTTATTTCATTCGAAAGCCTAGACCTTCCTTAACTACTGTTGTTAAACCTTACTGGTTGTGGTTTTTTTTCAAAGAGAAGGTGTATGCTACAAAATGCCCAACCTCATCAATGCCATTCACTTAGTCTTAGTCTCCGTCCAAACTTGGGATGGGGTTTCTGGGATGCAGGGATTAAAGCAGGGATTCAATCTTTTGCCACTGAATTTGGTTCCCATTCTGATCATGACACATTCGGCATCGCTGGGGAAAGTCATCCACTGCTTTCTGGCACATGTTCTTTCTGGCTCATGACATTCAGTTTGGTGGAAATGGCACTGATGAGGTCAGGGATGTTAGGGGTTTTTGTAGCATACACCTTCTCTCAAAAAACCCCAAAACTAGTAATCACAAACCGTCAGGTTTAACAGCAGTTGTTAAGAAAGGTCTAGGCTTTCGAATGATATGAAGCTCATTTCCATCAGAAAAAAAATAAAGACATAACAATGTACAAAACTTAGGGCAGGGTTTCTGGGACACCCTGTATTTACAGGATGGGCCATAAATATTTGTACCACATGTAACTTTCCTGTTTCTGCTTCACCAAAAAAAAGCAACAAAAAAAAAAGATATATTTATGTCAGTGTCTCTTTGATGGCCAATCTTAGGTGTTTTAACAAAACTCCTAAGTCAAAGGATTGGCACTAAAAAACTTGTCTAGCTGACCATGTAGCATGAGTGATTAGAAAAAAAGGCACAAATCCCCCCTTAAAACTCTGACTATAATCCTATAGATTACTGTATGCAGGGTCTGCTGGAAGTAAGTGCTGAAACCACCGCCAAAAACAAAATCCCATGACCTGAATCAGTTAAGGCTGGTGCTGGAAGAGGAATGGAACTATGTCTGTCCAGTGTGATAGGCTGGCAGACTCAGATATTGCCAGTTGCTGTCAAAAATAATTGGGATGCATCAAAAATATTTTTTGAATAGTTACAGTGAGTCTTTGTGTCTCATTGAGATTCAGTTGATACTATGAGAAATTATTATTACAATAAATACAAGACTTGATTTGATGTGAACATTTATGGCCCACCTTGTAAAATTTATTTCTTGAGGATTGTCCCATAGAAATGTTTGCAGATGAAGTGTAAGTCAACAGTGACAATTACAAAGTTATCTTGTGAAATCTGCAGACTGTTGAAATTGCTCAAGTTCAATATGCCTCTGTGACATGGGATATTGTAGTTTCTTTACAGATGCTTTGAGCAGTTGTTTTACTCCATGGCAGCAAATGGGTTGTCACTTCCATATTCCATAATGGCCCATATGATACAGTCAGTTGAAAATGTATTAATATGAACACAATCAATTAAATTAACTGGAATTGAATGTAATATATGAACTACAAGTTTTGGAGTTCTTTGCTTCTTTTGGGAAAGAATGTCAAGCATCAACATGTCTGGCATGCTTGATGTAGCTGCTGAACACATGCAGATGATGGTCTCTCCAAAAGAGAAATGATCCCCTTTCATCATCCTTGTGTCAATGATAAGCATTAAAGTGAATCTGTCTGTCCCACTTATTACCCCTGAAAGTGGTGCCTATTGATTTGACTGAAATCACCATGAACTGACACTATGACATATTCCTTTCTTTAAGGTATCTCAAATCCACCATTGGGAATATTCGACTAATCAGCAAATTCAGCAAGAAACCTGGAAGTGAGGATGAAGGTTATGGTTCTGCAGAAGAGGAAATATTTGAGTTTTGGCTGGATTACTTTGTTGAGGCCATCAATGGAGATGTAGGGGATGCTATCCGATTCCCGGTCTGATTTGTTTCCTTTTTCCCTTTCTGACATTCCTCATTCATACTTTCCTCTAACAGAAGGGTGATTTTTGTTTCAGATATTGATCTTGGAGCCAAACAAGGTGTACATGCCAAGTTATGTAAATGTCAATATGGGAGCTGAGGTGAAGAGTCTCCAGATCTGGAATCTATGTTTGGAGAAGATGAGGGGGAAATGTCGCCAAGTTCATGACTTTCTCTTTTTGGCTGACATGATTCGAGGTGTCAGGTGAGAGAAGATAAGGGAATCTCCCCATAATGTAATGATATCATGTTGATGCATTTCTGTCCCTATGATAGTTTGTACAAGCGGGACGAGCGCTGCCTCTTCGTGTATGTCCAGCAGAATGCTGATGATTTCCAGATGTTCTTCCCATCAGAAGAACATAGAAAGAGATTTTATAACCTGGTGAAGGAGATGACAGCTGATCAGGAGCGCATTGGACCATGTCTTGACCTGGATGTTTCTACTGGTGGTCCAATACAGGTGTGAACTTTTCATCCTCTTCCATTGTGTGGCAGATACTTCATTTCCTTCTGTTTTTTTTATTAGTATGAGTATGAACATGATGAATATGGGAAGAAGGTGGTTTTAGGAAGAGGAACTTATGGAATAGTGTATGCAGCTCGTGATCTCACTACCCAAGTCCGAGTTGCCATCAAGGAGGTTCCTGAGAAAAATTTGGGGTGAGCACACTTTTTACTTATAGTAGATATGTGTAAGTCATGCTTGCATACCTCTTTATCTTTCTTTGCTTCTTTGTCCATCAGTGATGTTCAGCCATTGCATGAGGAGATTCGCTTGCATTCACAGCTGCGTCATCGGAACATAGTCCAATACTTGGGAAGTCTTTCAGAAGATGGTTTCTTCAAGATCTTCATGGAACAAGTTCCTGGAGGTAATGGGAACCCTATTCTTTGATTATCATATCTACTGGAGATAAGCTTTCACATTTCTTAAGTCAAATACTTTTGTACTTCAACATGAATCTCAGGAAGCCTCTCAGCACTCTTACGCTCCAAATGGGGTCCATTGAAAGAGAATGAAGCTACAATAGCCTTCTATACCCGGCAAATCCTTGAGGGCCTGAAGTATCTCCATGACCAGAAGATTGTCCATCGAGACATTAAAGGTGATCTATCATACTTATGATTATTGAGATGTTCCAGGAATTTCATGAATTACAGTAAGCCTGTATTTATGCTTGTGAGAGCAGGGGACAATGTCCTTGTGAACACATACAGCGGAGTGGTGAAGATCTCTGATTTTGGTACCTCAAAACGGCTTGCCGGGATCTGTCCCAGCACAGAAACATTCACTGGAACTCTCCAATATATGGCACCTGAGGTGATCGATAAGGGTCAACGTGGCTATGGTGCCCCAGCTGACATCTGGTCCCTTGGTTGTACCATAGTTGAAATGGCCACTGGTCAACCTCCTTTTATGGAACTTGGGTCTCCTGAGGCTGCCATGTTCAAGGTGGGCTATTACAAGATGCATCCAGCCATCCCAGAGGAATTGTCTGACAAGGCCTCCTCATTCATACTACGATGCTTTGAGCCTGATCCACAGAAGAGGGCTACTGCTGCTGAACTCCTTGAGGACCCTTTTCTTTTGCAGTTAGTTGAGATGTGACGCTTTTGTTTTCCCATTGGATGTCAATTCATCTATGAGGCCCTCTTGAGTACCATTTCTTCCACAGAATCAAAGGAAGAGCCAAGAAGAAGATGTGTAGACTTACCACCCCTCAGATGGAGTTCCATCGAAGTATTTCTGTTCCTCCTGCCATTGGCAGAGGGCAGGTGACTGGGGTGCAGCCTTCCTGTGGACCTCTTCCAGGCACTGTCTATGGCATGAACCATAACCTTGACACCACCTCCACCACCGACCACAATCCAGCAGTGAGCATTGACAATCAGGGATCTCTGCAATTGTGCATGACTCCAGGATGGAGTATGGACCACTCAGCCCCTCATTTCAATGCATCTGTCTCTGATGGGTAAGCTTAATGCATTCATTGTATTTAGTGTCTTTGTGTGTGGTGTATGTGTAGTGCTTGAAGTAGTAAGTAGGAGTCTGTGTACTGCTGATACCTCAAACCCTTGGGACTACAAAGGCTTATGATTCAAGTGGCAAGGGGCATTACTCCTGTCATTGCCTCCAATTGGGATTCCCAATTTCCAACTGCAGGTTTAAATTATTATTTTCATTTCCTTCTCTCTTAAGTAAAGAATAGAAGATGAACTCTCTCACGCATCAAAACTTGCTTTGCGGAGACAGAGAGTCATGGAAGTCAGCCTTGTGTGTGCAGCTCTCATCTGGGCCAACTTCCAATGGGAGCATATGTAAGAGTAGCCCACACCTAAGATATCTCATTCATAATTTTTCCCATGCCAAATTCACTATCCACAGATTGAGGCACTTATCTTTTGCTTCTTCCTTCAGTTGTGATTTTACACTGGAATTTTGCTAATAAGCAACTGCACATGTGTGAGTGCATTTGCTACAAACAGACAATCAGATAGCTTTCAGGGGTCCCAATGACCCTTGATGGACAATTATGCATGCTCAGTTTCTCTCTAGTGCATATCTAGGCTCCTGATCACAGCAGTATAGAAACTGTGAATGATGATAGCTGAGGCCACTTTGCAATTATTTGATACCATGTTGAGGAAAATTTGAGTGTCATAGATTTCACATCACATATAGGTGTGAAAATGGCTACAAAGGAGAGGAGAAAAAGGTTTAAATTTGTCTGTTTCAGTTCTTGCAAATTTGTTCTTGTAGGCTTTGTTTAATTCATCCAAAATGTATACACTATATCAGCAAGATCAGTATTGTTATAGTCTTCTCAAGTCATCCAAAAAGTTGTCTGTCCATAAAAATTCCATCAGCTTTAATTTGATGATTCACATATGTAGGGATGGGAAGCATAGGACCATGCTGACTAACCATGATAGCCTATCCATCAGTAGGTATCTCTCCCTTGATCAGTCATCAGAATGTCAGAGGTTTTGAGAAGGTATGAATTGGCATGCTACTTACATGAAAGTCTCTGACTTATTCATAGACCATGATCATATGAGGTCATAGCTCATATATGAGCAGTTATTGAATACATATTAGAAAAATCATAGCCTCTGTACACAGCCTTGGCCCTCATTGCTCACTTAAAAAAAGTAGCACTCATTGCACCATGGGGCCAATATGTCCCCCATATATTTTATTGCCACAAGAAACCAAGGTTTGAATCACTACTGATTCAACATTACAGGACTATTATATGCAGGCTGCTTAAAACGTTTGTGTAATCAATGAATTCTCTTCATCTCAGAACCACTAAATTCCAGGAAAATAGCCTCATCTGCAGTTATACTGAAACTATAATTTCTGCTTTGTATATAATGAAGTTTAAAATCAGATTTTTTTAACCACTCATACTTTTTTCCAGTTTCTTGTCAAATGACTGAGTTGACAAAACTTCTATTTTCTTAAGCCATTGACAAGATCAGTTCTGCACTGTCATGATTTTTGCATGGTGTCTTGGGAAGTCTAATCTATATCCTTCCAATCATCCATAAATGGTTTTTTAAATTTTAACATGGTTGAACTTTGCTTGAAGGTGCCCCAGCCCTCCCCCTTCCCCCACAGCTGCCACTGACTCAAACATTGGTACAGCAGAGAAGCTTATCAAAGAAGACCAATTTGCATCAGAATCTATGAACTTCTGGGAAGCAATGAGGGTATTTTGCAACTTTAATTGGGAAAATACTGGGTGATTTTTTATTAATGAGCCCATTTTAAATATTTATCATCTGGGAACAAATAGATGCATTAAATTTTGTCCCAAGAATTCATAAACATGGAAAAGTTATACTCTGTGAAAAGACACATTCTATGTGCCCTCATTTGTGCACTATCACATGTCATAGGTGTGTGGTATGATTCTGCACTACCGCTGCAGGTTATTCCAAGAAATGGAGTAGACTTCATGTTCTGTGGCTGCCTTCAGGTTTCTCCAGAGGAAATAATCACATGGATTGAGATCAGAGGACAATGATGGCCATACTAACCCACTGTTGTGGACATCAGGGAATTTGCTAGACAGTATTCTGGTACCAAAGTTCATGTGCAGGTAGTCTAACACAACAATTGCTGTGTTGGTGTGGCCACCATTGCCCCCACTCTCATTCCATATGAAATCCATATCACAATTTCCTCAGGGGATACCTAAAGAATGAATTCTTCAAATCCATGTGTGTTGGGAGATCGGAAGATAACCACATAGTGTGCCGGCCACTCCATTTCTCAATATTATCAGTATTCATAGTGCAGACTTTCACCACATGCCTACAACATGTGATAGTGCACAGATGAGGGTACATTGAATGTGTTTTTTCATGGAGTATAACTTTCTCATGTTTATGGATTCTTGATGCAAAATTTAATGTACCCAACTTCATTTGTTTCAAGATGATATCAATTGAACTGATGCATTTTCCTTGTGGGACACAACCTCTGTTGAGTGGGTGATCTGGTGTCAAATTGCACAGAAAGGGCTGATGATGCTGAAATGTAATAATTACCATATTAACTAAGGAGACCATATCTTGTAGTCATCTGCAGGGTTCTTCTGTTGATGCACATACACATACATACACATGCATTAGGTATGCATGTATATGAACCAGAATGACTTTCCCCAATTGCATTGTTCATAGTGTCAAGTAATGACTTGACACTGTGTCATCTAATGCAATCACCAAATGAATTTAGTCCCTAGATATTGTGAGTGGCTGTGATACATTGCTAATTGAGAATGGCATGGTATAGCAACTAGCTGTTTCAGGAGAGTGTTTGGCAGTCAGTCTGATGTGTGCCCTCCAAAACCCAAACTCCAAAACCTTCCAAAAGAGGCAATCATTGAAAGCACGCAATTCATGAGAAGTTGAAGAATATTGGATCTGATATACTATCTACTTTATATCAAACAATTTTAGCCTAACCCTATCCCACTTAAGAAAAACGCTTTTTTTTCTCACCTCGCCTTGGGGGTTGGGGTAGGAGGGAAAAAAAAAAGGTTTTTCTTAACTGAGACATGGTTAATACATAATCAATGGTCCCTGGACTATAGCACTCTTTAATTTGACTACCATGCAACTAGTTCTGGGCCTTCCTGCCTTAATGAAGCATTTTATTCATGTGAGCAAGAATTACCTTTGCAACTTTCTTTCAAAGATTGGAAATATTGGCTCAACCCTGGAATTCTGTTTTTGGCAGCTCTCCAAATGTAATAGCTCATTTTAAGCAAGAAAAAAATGTTGAAAACCTCACACATTAAATGCATTATACATGTTGACTCCAATGTCACCTTTTTTATTTGCTGCCATTCATACCCTGTTTAGAGTAGAGTCCATAGATTGTGAGATGTTTTGTGGTGAGGGAACTGATCATTGCAGGCGGGGTTGCAGGTGTCTTAGTCGAAACAGATGTTCTACCTTGATCACCTCTTTCTCTTCTTCCTCCTTGCAAAGTTTCCTCCTGTCTCATGCCAGGTAGCCTACTTCCTCAATTGTGCCCATGCATGCATCTTTTTCTTCTCCTTCATTAGGAGCATCACTCTCTGCCTTAATATATTAACCCTTCTACGGTTTTCCATAGAGAAATTCAACTTTTTTTTCAGATGACAAAATTGCTGATAATATCCTAGATGAATATATTAAATTGGCTTCATCTTTGGCACACACACAGCTGGAAAGTATTGTTAAATGTTCTTAAAGATTTAAATGTTTGTCTTTAACTTTCACAACTAAAGAATGACATTGTGCAGAAAACAGAAGAAGTTGGGAAAGTTTTTACCCACACTTTCTGAGCAGAATCCTTCATGTGATTGGCTCAGATAGAGCCCTTCACTGCTCCTTCTTACCATGCAGTGTCGTTCCTGGAGAAATAAAATTCCAAAATGGAATTGTGTATTACATCTCGATTCACAGCAATAATGAAAGACTTTCTTGCCATTAAATTGATGGAAGACTCTTTCCATCTGATCAATATTGGTGAATTCATGCACACTATTTGAGGGATTGCAGAAGTTCCTAGACCTTCCCAACATGGCTTGATCAAGGAGTTTAAGCTTGACAGACTTTCATCTGAATCTCAGTGTGCAACTTGGGGGTATTTCAGATGTTGACCCTATTTCAATGTAGGCCAGCCAGTGACACCATTGAGCCAAACAGGAATTGACACAGGGTCAGGCCATATGTCTGATACAAGGGGTAATTGCAAAATATGTTATGCAAAAGCTTGAGCTGAAAATTGAGTGCAAGTCTACTGTGTGGCATACTAAACCTACTGTGCCTAAGTATTAATAAAATGAGGAATTGTTTCCAAGAGCAACATGCAACTCAGCACCAATATGGATAGCAATGAATGTGGGATTGGGGATGAAGCGTTCGAGAAGGGAGATGGGTGTGCAAGCATCAAAGTTTCTTGGTTTGATGAGAGGATGGGAGTGTAAAGTGATGTGAATGAGTCACCCAATCTTGATATGGGTGACAGAACGAGAAAGAATAAATGAAATAATAATGATTGGATGCTAGAATTCAGTCTCTCCTTGCAGAAATGGCTGTATAAGATGTTTTGCTTTATTTCTTCTGAACAGCTTGACTGAGAGTCTCAAATAACATGGGATAGCTTGAAGTAGAGCCTGCAAAGGTCTCTATTGGTGGAGTGTGTGGGATTTTATGTATTTATTTATTCATACAACCCACCCTGGCTCCATATCATTTTCCTTTCAACTTGATATTAAACAGCAGAGATCTCCCTTCACCCACTTGTGCAAAGAACTTACCCCTACCTCTTTAGAACCCAACAAATGACGAGAAAAGCCTTTTGTCAGTTTTTTCAACAAAAAAATTCTAACTCTGGAAAGTGTTATTGTAGAGTTTGTTTTTCAAGAAATATTGCTTTCCAGAGATTCGTAGATGGGGAAATTCAGGTAAATTTTTTGTGGCTATGTACGCACCCATAACAAATTGTGCATGAGAAAAAACCGTAGAAGGGTTAACTCTCTTGTGCTCGGATTTTCCATGGAACAGGACATATGGCACAATGAAGTCAGAGGTGAGATGTTAGGTGAAATACCCCTGAGCAGGAGAGAGTTAAGTTTCTTTGTTTGGTGCTTTCTTTCCTTCTCCTTTCTATGCATTGCCATGATATCATGCTGGGACAGATGGATACATTTATTGTGTCTTCCTTTGGAGTGGGACATTTGGAGATGGAGATGAGACCCCGACACCTTTGCCAATGAGACGACGTGGATCAAGCAATGTGAGCATTGGGATCAGCATCCCCTCCCCTGAGGTCCTTGTGGGGGATGGAGACCCGGGTTCCACTCCTGTTGAGGGAGATGGTTTCTACCTCCTTAAAAAGGATTCTCAAAGACGTACCACCCTAGCCAAGGTCATGGCTAATGATGAACTCAAAATCGCAGAAGTCTGGCTTCAGAGCCTACAGACAGAAGTTAGGGAACCGCTCCTTGCCTTGGTGAGTAATAGACAGGTAGACATTCTGAAACTGAAGACTTCCTTATCTTTCATCTCCCCCCCCCACCCCCCTCACTTTCCAGTACATAACTTGACTCCCTTGTTTCCATTTCAGGAACACTTGGTTGTCCTCATGAGAGGCTTACGTGAATTCATCCTCAAGCAAGAGAAAAATGCCTTGGCTCAGGGGATATCTTCTCTGAAGGTGGCCTTGGATTTTGATGGCATGGCCATCAATCAGATCCAGCTTGCACTATATCTCTTCCATGATGCTGTGGGTTGACATTGGTCTTTGATCTCCTGTGAAAAAGAAATCTTTCAACAATGTCTGTCTGCTTAATGTGACAGGTGAATCGAGTGCTGAAAAATCATCACATTAAGCCGCATTGGATGTTTGCCTTGGACAACTTGGTCCGCAGTGCTGTCCAATCTGCAATCAGCATCCTCAGCCCTGGTAAGATTGGCATAGAGAAATGCAAATGTGAATTAAGAGGTGACTGAAGCGTCTGGATGAGTTTGTTTACGGGTGCAACATATGAGGGAGAATTCAGGTTTTAGAAGCAAGATGAACTACCTCTACTCTCTAACAAATGGCATAATGTTCTGGTTATATCTAAATCTATATACACTGGTCAACAAAATTAAGGTAACACCATTTTTCGTCTGTATTTTAATTACAACAGTAAATTAGAGGGTGAAAATACGTTGCTGTATGTAATTTTACATGCACATTCTGAATATCCAATTGAAATTGATCTATGAGCTTTGCAATGTGCAAATTAGTGAAGCCTATAAAAAGGTGGTGGCTATTGATTTCTAAGCATATCTGTTGGAACATGTAATTTTTCATTTCATTATATAATTTTCATAACACTGTTATTACCGGTCCAAAGTTGATCCTTTTTTAGGCACTTATCGGTAATGATAAATTGTATCTCTGTACAAATTTTCATTTATATACCTTACAGAATAATAACGTCATTCTGGTTTTCATGATTGTTACCTTACTTTTGTCCACCAGTGTATGTAAAGAAGGAAGTTTGTCTGTCTGTCTGTTCCTTTATGCATTCAGACCCTGCAGGAGCCAGTGCAACCAAACTTTGCATGACCTCCTCTTTCATCCAGGTGAAGGTCAAGGGCTATGTTTCAATCCAAAGTTTTCACTCCTGGGGTACTTTTCTGGGGTACTGTAGTGTCTGGGGTGGCATTGAGAGGCACGACTGACTACTGGATTCAGTGGTGCAGTGGTAGCACACCTGACCAATGATCAGGAGGCCCAGGTTCAGTTCCCAGCCGTCACCTACCTTTTTATCATCCTCTCATGCTATCATGTCCTATCAACTCTCCCCTCCTGGCCACCTGCATTACAGTACCTTGGGGGAATCCCATTGCTGGATCACTACAGTAGGTAGTAAGTAATATTCTTTTGATCAAGTTTGCAGCAAAAACGTTTCAAACTATGAAAACATTTTACCAATAAGTTTTTTAACTCCAAAATAATTTAGAAATTATTCAGTGTTAAAAAAAAATTAAGTTAAAAAAAGGAAAGGGGGTCTGAGTGCATTTTGCAACACCCAAGATTGGTAACTTATAGGAAACCATAAGGCTAACGTTCCTCAATTTGTCATGCATGAAATATTGAATTTCCCCAGACAAGGCCGGGTACTTCAGCTAGTTACTTATAAATGATGGGCACAGGATATATGCCACCAGTAATTTATCTTTCTTGTAGTGATGGAAAAAAATGAAGATGGATTCCACTCATCAAATCATCCTTCTACATAGTAGCATAGAGGTGGGCAACCTACAGCCTACGAGCCAGATTTGGCTCACAAAGAGATTTCATCCAGCCCGTCAAGCACAAGAAGAGAGATTTATTTTCTATTTCATTTATTCTTTTCAAAACCTTGCACTCATTCCTCTGGGCAGATCAGCACCACAATCAATTATGCTCTCCGACCCACCATAGGGTTGAGCCATGTTAATCCAGCCCACAAATACTGAAAGATTGCCAACCTCTTCAGTTGCATACTTTGGCTGAAGAGTCAGGGGACAGGGCAGCATAATGGGAGCACCAAACCCCTCCCAAGTGATACCAGGGGAGAAAATTATTACCCAGGGGGGGGGGAGCACCAAGCTCTGTCCCAGGGGTGCCAGGGGGGGTGGCTGCCTCCCCCCCCCCCCCCCCCCCCCCCCCATGGGGTTTGGTGCTCCCATTATGCTGCCCTGTCCCCTGACTCTTCAGCCAAAGTATGCAACTGAAGAGGTTGGCAATCTTTCAGTATTTGTGGGCTGGATTAACATGGCTCATTGATATAATCTGCTGTCTGCACATCATGGAAGCATCCATTTCACACTAGGCCTACTGTCTCTCATTCTTTTCTCTCTCTAATTATTTTATTGTATTTTGTTCCTGGTTCACATGCTCTTTCATTGCTCCTTTTATTAGACTTGGGTGCAAACCTTGCTGGGAGAGACAGATCAGATGTGAGAGATCGGGATGACACCACTGCTCCATCATTATCTTCATTTCCATCTCAATTACAAGTTCTTGAGGATGGAAATGGTGTGGTTGGAGGAGCCAGAGCAGGGGAAGGATCCACATCAGGTGTTTCCACCATCAATTCTCACAAGTCAAGTGCAGATGAAGGATCCATGGAACAGCGGCTAGCAGAAGTGTCCCAGCAGAACTGCAGCCTGATTGAAAAGCTCATATCTACAAAAGAAGCCTTGAGGAATCTCTTGAAGATGTCTGTTGATGAGACTCAGCTTCAGATGGCCCTCTTGCAGCGGTTAAGGTGAGGTCATCTGTAACTTGGCCTTGAAAGGATTGGGCTACAATTCGGTGCTTAACCCTTTCACTGTTCTGCAAGAAAATGCCCTCCACCTTGTGTAGTGGTAGACCTCCACTCAGACTACCACTCCACACAAGCAATGCATGCAACCTGAGTATGTACTCTGGCTAACAGCGAAAGGGTTAGATTCTAATCTAGTGTGTGTATGTATATATATATATATATTAGTGAGAGAATCATGCCGATCAAGCTAGACTTACAACCAGCACAAGTCCGAGCTATTGATAGAAAATGAGAAGAGAATACTAAAAAAGCGAAGGATAGCTAAGGAAGCCTAATGGACTGGCAAGTCGTAGGAGTCTCGTGAGGGGCACGATCCTACCAAACAACTTGCAGTGTAACAAAACCCTTTTCGACATCTCCACACCAGGGAATGATCATTAAGGAAGAGGACAGTTGCTGCCGCAACAGGAGTAACAAAAAGCTTCCACAGCTTAAGTCTGTCCTACATGCACCGCTCCTTAATGGACTGGCAAGTCGTAGGAGTCTCGTCAGGGGCACGATCCTACCAAACAACTTGCAGTGTAGTAAAACCCTTTTCGACATCTCCACACCAGGGAATGATCATTAAGGAAGAGGACAGTGGCTGCTGCAACAGGAGTAACAAAAAGCTTCCACAGCTTAAGTCTGTCCTACATGCACCGCTCCTGCACAGTCAGGGGGTCTAAGTAGCTAATTAGCTAATAGCTAGCAGGATAGCTAATTTTGCTTTCTTTCTCTTTTTTTGTGGCTTCTTCGCAGTTCTTCAGTTGCTTCAGTCCACTTAGGCTAGGGGTCTGCTGCAGATGGACATCCTATGTTTATACCTCCATACATTTTGCCTTGATGTCTGTGTGAGTCGATTCATTGCTCACAGTATCTCGGCTGTCCCAGATTGTTTTTCAAGGGAATCTCTTCACTTTGCACATATATATATATATAGGAGAAAAGTAATGAGATCCCAAAGCTGGTTAATCAAGACAACTGACTCCAAAAGGTAAGATAATGGAATTTTAAAAGAGAAGAAAGGAAAGGAGCCTTTGGGATCTGAAAGAATAGCACGATCCTCATCAGGGGCACGGTCCTGCTCAAACTTTCAGTGTAGAAAGATCTTTTTCGGTAATCCCACTTGAGCCAAAATAAGCTAGAAGAAAATGAAAGAGTATAACTGAAAGGCTGTTGATTGAAAGAAACCACAACTTAAGTCATTCTAAAAATCACCACAAATGCACACCCAATTAGCTAGAGAAAGCTTACGCTCATGCTGCAAGAAGGCAGCCAGTGCAATGTGTCCTGTGAAAAAGGAATTAACGATGCTCAGGAGAGCAGACAACCTCTAGCTGACAGCTATGAAGAAATTAAGCTCCAGTGGGATCCGTGCCCAAAAGATCTATCCACTATCCATGGCTCGATAAGAAAAGAGTGGAGAAAAGGACAATTCCACAAAAACTGAGAGAATTCACTGGGTAAATTGAATCATGTGTTGCAATCCGAGCCTGTGTATGTAGACCAAAACTAACTGTTCTAACTGTCCCCTGATAGACAGAAAAAATAATAAAGGGGAGTATGCAGTGAAGGAGGAAAGGCACAGTCGACTATAGAAGGCAAATGGCCTATGCCCACTCCCTGGAATCTGTCCTAGGCCAGGGACTAACCCAGGCCTATGACACAGAGGCTAGCCCTAATCCCACATAGTGGAAGCAAGCCGATCAGCAGACCAACTAGCAGAAAACGAAAGGTTCGTTAGCAAAGGAAACACCAAACTTCTGCAAAATAATGAGGTAATGCGTTTTTTTGAAGAGGCCAATTTTTGAGAATGACTTAAGCTGTGGTTTCTTTCAATCAACAGCCTTTCAGTTATACTCTTTCATTTTCTTCTAGCTTATTTTGGCTCTACTGGGATTACTGAAAAAGATCTTTCTACACCGAAGGTTTGAGCAGGACCGTGCCCCTGATGAGGATCCTGCTATTCTTTCAGATCCCAAAGGCTCCTTTCCTTTCTTCACTTAAAATTCCATTATCTTACCTTTTGGAGTCTGTTGTCTTGATTAGCCAGCTTTGGGATCTCATTACTTTTCTCCTACATTTACATTTAGTTGTGTTGTCAGCTGTGGTCGAGCTTCTCGTGCTCTGCTTCACTACTTAGAGCAATGTTGGGTAGTTTAGTGGTGTGGTGCTCTTTTATATATATATATTAGGGAGCAAGAGAAGGTGGTGGAAATGGACAGGGCAGAGGACAAAGAAGAACAGGAAGAGGCAGGAGAAGACAGTCAACAGATGGAGAGAAAGAAGGAAAAAGAGAAGCTGAGGGCTTGGTTAGAAGACCTTCATTTGGATGATGCATCCATTCAAAAGGTATTTTCTTGTTTTTTTTTCTCTCTCTACCTATCCCATCAATAATTTCTCCAAATGACTCAGGACTGAAGTGAAATAATTTCTGAATGTAAAAAGGGTCCAACAAAACAGGGACACAGTGAGCACAGATTAGAGTGCTCACTGTTTCACAAAGAATGTGATGCTCCCCATCTATGAGCTTCCATTTGTGCATCCCCTGTGGCATGGGTCATAGAGTGTATACACTATTTTCCCTCTTTCCTGCACATTCAGTGAGTTGTGTGGCAATTTCATGCAATTGCCTATGGGCTTTAGCTTCAGCAGCATGACTTTTCAATGCTCTGTATGCATCTAGCACCCTTCTATAAAAAGTTAATTAATGGCGGCATTTTGAAATAGCTGGCTAGTGGCTGCCATATTTCCTTCTTTTCCTCTTACAGTAAAGTATTGGGTCGATTGGAAAGTTCTAGCCGTTTCGAGAACATTCCGTACCTACAGAGTTTTTTTAAAAAAACAAAAAAGTTCATTCAACGAAGTAATCGCCATCACAATCACCTTCTGCCAACAATCAGGCAGACTCCTGATTCCATCCCTGTAGAACTGAGCAGGCTATGAGTAGAAAAAATCAGTCAGCCAGTTTTCAACCTCAGCGTCATCATTGAACCTTTTCTGGCGAAGATGGTTGTCCAGAGCATGGAAGAGATGGTAGTTGGTTGGTGCCAGATCTGGGCTGTACGAAGGGTGAGGCAGAACTTCCCAACCCAGATCCAGCAGTTTCTGCCATGTGATCTTCACGACATGTGGCCTTGCGTTGTCATGCAGGAATCGAACATGACGGTGCCCTGGCCACACCATGTGGAGTTTGTCAACAAGCTTCTGCAGCTGATTGCAGTAGTAGGCAGTGGTGATGCTGGTATTGGGTGGGAGCAGCTCGAAGTAGATCACGCCTTGCACGTCCCACCAAATGCACAACATGACTTTTCGGGGGTGCAGGTCACCTTTCAGCTCCAGCTCTGGCTGGGCATCAGCATCGACCCACTGGCACCTGCGTTGGTAGTTGACATACAGCATCCACTTTTCGTCTCCAGTGACTACAGAATCCAGCCAGTTGTATGACAGCAATGAAGTGCACACCTCAACACAGCGTTCGTGGTCGCAGTCAGTCAGATTGTGGGGTACCCACTGACCCAACTTGCTCTTCTTGCCAATTGCTGCCAGGTGCATCACAATTGTGGACTGGGCGCAGCCAAGTGCTGTCGCTAAGTCATGGGTACTTTGCCTCAATCGGCTTCCACTGTGTGCTGCAACTGCTTGTCGTCAATTCCAGATGGGTGGCCTGACCTGGGCTCATCCTCGAGGCTGTAATTTCCAGACTGGAAATGATCGAACCATTGTCGCACTGTTCTTTCATAAACTGCACCTTGGCCAAATGCGGTGCAGATGTGGTGACTCAATTCGGCTGCTGTGATGCCAGATAGGAAGTCTTAAAGAAGGCACTGACGTTGGGTGGTCTTGTTAAAGTCGATTTTGGAAGTCATGGTGTTATAGGCTTTGAATGACTAAGCAACTGCTGCGTAATCATGCCCACACACCCTTTATATACTGCTACTGTGGAAGATTTGAGAAAGTTCCAGAAATTTTTTTTCTGGAAAATTCTCATAACAGCCAGAACTTTCCAATCAACCCAATATATTTGGAAAAGTACCTGAATTTGGCATTCATGGGAGAAAATATACAGGTATCCCAATTTCCCCATCCCTTATTCTCCATAATAACAAAGTATCTCTGAACTCTGTTAGTGACAACAAGAAAAAATACCTACATCTTCAGTTTTTTATCATTTGAAATTTGGGTGTCTGTTTTTTCATCTATGGCTCCATATTCTCTCTCTTTGTCACTCTTAATTGAAATTACCTACTTGATGGCCATTTGCCTTATAGTTTTCTTTGTATGAATATCCTGCTCTGGCAGTTTTTTTTTTCCAATATGATTGCCTTCCAGGGATCATTGACTGGATTTTGATATAACGTTTATGCTGAACTAAAACCACCTACTATCCTACAGTACTTTAAGGAAATAAGTTATTTTCATTCCCAAGAGTGTGATGTACAAAATGACAGAATCATGCAGAAACACAAAGCACTTTGATAAATGTGGTTGACTCCCTCATGTTTAACCAAGAACTATTTTATAATTTCTTCTCACCATCTTAGTAGAGGAGGTTTAATGATTTAAGCAGAGCATTCTTTGAGCAGGATGAGAATTCTGCTCAAATAAACAAATACATTCCTAAAATGTGAATTTGTACCAAGATCTTAGTGTTCAATATTAAAACAAATGTTGTGACATTATAGAAGCATATTTTGCCATTGTGTGGTTAGAAATATATATTTTTTAAAGAAATTTACAAAAAATAACCATTAACTAGGAGGTTATCAACAAAATGATACAATTTCAACATTTCACAGTATAATATTCAGCAGTTGAGTTGGTAGGTTACAAACAGGAGCAGATAGATATGATGAAGAGCAATATCCTGTTGTAGTCATTGCTTTTTTTTAATGCACTATACAGGATGTCCCATAAGTCACTAAACCATTTCAAAAATTAACATCTACCAAACAGTCGGAACAAAAAGAAGTAACATTAACTGAACGATAGCATGTCATTTGGAATTATATTTGTCAAAAATTGAGATTTTTCTTAAGTTTGAAAGTGCTTCAAAATGCCCTCTGCCTATGTCAATACATTTGGCATGAGGCTCACAACCAAAATATTGCCGAAACTCCCTTTGGACTCTGATGGGACTCTCAAAGACCTCCTTCCAGGTAGCAACATTCCTTCATTGCTCAAGCGCCAATTGTGAAGCCTTTTCTCATGAACGTGAAAGCAATTAAAATTTTTTCTCTTCCTTAGGTCTGTCTGGAATTAGGAGCAAAAGCATGCTGTTTTGCATTTTTTGCCAAAGAGGATTCAACAAGGCCCAATAAATTGCCCAAAAGACATACACCTTTCTGACATGCTTTTGGAACAATTTCTGTTTGAGTCTGATTCCAAGTCATTATTGTGAGAAAAAAAATTATAAAGAACATTCATTCCATCAATGCTAAGAAAAGTGACCGATTGTTGCAGTTTGGAAAATATTGCATTTTGAAATGGTATAGTGACTTATGGGATGCCCTGTATGTTTAACCTTCATTTAATTTGCCTTTGGCAATTCCAGGTTAAATTACTTCTTTCTGCAAAAAATCTCCCTGCTCCCTTCACCTTTTCTAGTTGGTATGTTCTCTTGTTTTCCCTGGAATGCTTTTTGCTTTTTCCAGCTGTTATGATGGTAAATTGCATGTCCTTGAAAGCTACCAAAGCCTGAAAATTTACCACACCCACAAGGGGAAAGGATGGACCAGCTCAAGAAGACACCAGGATCAGGGAGGTTTTGCTTGGAAAGGAATATTTATTAATTCTCTGTTTTCACTGATGAAGAATTCACTTATCACTCCGTGCAAATATGTAATAGTCCTAAATATTTTAGTGTCTCTGGTTTGGTTCTGGTTCAACAATGGTCTGACTGTTCTGGGTTGGTCCCTTGGTCTCTTCAGTGTCAGCTTTGGCTAATCTTATGTGAATGCAATGTAATAGAACACATGGAACCATATCGTGCGGTTGACACAGCTCCTTTTTTATGTTGCTTCCAGGTTATTGATGAAGCATACACATTGGAGGACCTCCTGGTTCATGTCTCTCGGGATGACCTCCGTCACATCTCACTCCGGTGTGCATTTATTGCATTTGCCCTCATTCTGAATCTATACCTAGTCCTTGTGTGCCTAATATGATTACATTTTGGTAATTCTGATTACTGTTAGACTTCTCCATTTGTAAATGGATCAAACAACCAACAAACCAATGCAGAAGACTACATGGTGACAGATTGAGTACCACTCATGAAGCTCAGTGAGGAATGAATTATTGGTGCCTTTATCCACCTGGGATTCGTGCAGGTCATTATTAGCCTAAATCAGCAGTTCTCAACCTTTTCTTCACAACAGCACCCTTTCCAGACAGTGCGGTGTCGACAACACTCATGCACATCCATGAACCTCCATGCACAATAATATAAGCCTAACTAGGACCTTTGAATTCATTCATGACAGGTTTATTTTGAAACTGTCATTTGGCTAAACCATCATTTCAAAGAAAATAATATGTTCAAACTCATAAATTTTTTACCACTCCAATGCTGTGCCTGTGCCTTCCTTAGGTTGCCTAGAAAGCCAAGATATGGGCATAATTTTGAAGTGATCTCATGCAGTTCACTTGTAATTCTTACTTGGACCTGAAATTGTTTTTTTTTCCTTTTTTTTTGTTAATCCCCAGAATAAGAGAAGGTAAATGCACGTATCTGGTATCACCAGGAGTTTGCAGTTTGAGTCAATTTTGATCAAAATAACTCATATTGTATAGTCCTGGTGTACATTTATTAACCAACCCCCTTGGCATTTGACCCAAGCCTCTCTCGGGGTAATTTCTGAAAAGTATGAATTTGATTTCTGACTTGTTGTATTGTTTATATGTGCTGCATGTAAGGCATCAAACAATAGATGCATAATAAATGTGGGGATTTTTAGCAGAAGGAGTATACAAAGAGTATAAAGCTTGAATACCTCATGCAGCAGAAAAAAAAAATATTTTTTTTAAATAAAATTAAGTGGGAAAATGAAGTGCCAAGGAGGTTAATAGAGGAGGCTGAAGTCACAAGTGTCATACTTTAGATTTGGTTCTTCAAAAGAAATTTCTTTCCTATGCCATATAGTTCTTCTCAAATACATTAGTTAAATAGCATTTTAGACATTGGCCTTTTTGCACTGCTTTGAGGGCAGGCAAAAAAAAAAAAAATTTACCTGGCACCCATGGCACCATTGCCAGCTTCTCACAGCACCCCTGAGTGCTGTGGCACTCAGGTTGAGGACCACTGGCTCTGGTCCCATTTCAGTCTCATTTGATGGATGGTTTTCAACTGCTGGTCAAAGTGATAACCACAGAGATTAGCATATGTTGTCTTGGTGAGCACTGCCACAGTCACCAATATTGACAGAGAGACCTTGAATCACCAGCTGGTTGAATTGTATTCTGACTAGCCACCAAAGGTTCTGAATGATTCCAACATGTCATTTCCCCATACACTCTAGCCTGGCAAGCAAGCACCTCCCAAATTAATTTACCTCAAGTTGTGTGACTTTTGTGTTTTTCTTTCTTTGTTTCTTTCTAGAGGGGGAATAGAATTGCGAATCTGGAGAGCTATCCAGGATCATCGTCACAAGCCGGTTTAAGGATTATATCCTATGCTGAGACTATTCCTGCCTCTCCAACTCTTCCAATGCATGCTTCCAATCATGTTTGATGGGATCAGCCTTCCCACTTGGATGTGAGAATCATGTGAATGTAGGGACCAAGGAGATCTTCCAAAACTGTGTCCACTACAGGAGAAATAGTGAGATCTTTGACCCACTCACATCATATTTTACGACTGTTTGAGAAGTTGCTGACTCATTATTTGAAAATGGCTGCTGAGGCTGTTCTGGAAAGGTAAAATAAAAAAAGAATCAGCTGCTGTATCTTTCTCCTTGCCCTACTGGGACCAAAAAGTCGTATGAGTTTGACTCTAATCATTAACCTGGTCTCTAATCTAAGATATTTGAATCTAATGACCATGTATTTGTTGATAGGGTAGTCCAGAATACAAACTGAGAGTAGGGTAGTCCAGAATACAAACTGAGAGTAGAACTCAATATTTACATGCATGAAGTATAATGCTGCAAGGGGTGAAATCCAAATACTGAACTGAATCTGTTGGTCTTTGTAGGCTTATGGATCCCATACCAAGGAACTGGAACTTACTCACTGGGAAAAACTCTCTCTGTGATTCCTGGCACAAGTGGCATTTAGCCTGCAGTGAAGTTCAAAATCCATATTGAGAGCTCAGAGCTTGGTACCTAAATGAATGAAAGGTAATTCTGCTGGGGGAAGAACCCAAATACAGAAATGCATTTGTTGATCTTTGCGTGTAACCCATACCAAGGCTTACCACTGGAGCTCTGAGAAACTCATTCTGTGATTCCTAGCACAAGTGGCAATAAGCCTTCAATTTTACAGTTCCCCCCCTCCACTCTTGTCAATGAATCCATTTGATCTCAGAATTTATCCCAGCTAGTTTAGTCAGATCCAAGAAAATAGTCTGATGACAGACCATGGTGAGGTGAAGCATACACCTGAAATTCTGCAAGTGATGGTGCATTTATGCTACCCTTAGTAATTGATTGTGCCATGGGGACTGATTATTTCAATGCAGAGTGTTCATGTGATGAAGTATGGAATGCATGCATTTCTATTATGTTTGTTACTTTCACCTCAAAACATAGTTCATATGATGGAGTAGTGACTAATCAACTACTTGCTTGCTCCTTGTTCTGGTGCCATTACTGAATTTTAGTTTTTGTTTTGTTTTTGCCTTTGCTTCTCTCAATTTTGAGTCCCAGTGAATCCCAAGCATGATCACTGCATTGTGTTGTGATGATGAGGATAAGAGGTAATAAAGTAATACATATTGTCCATTATCATTCAGCATCCCTTTCTAGATAACCATGCTGGGTGCAAGTCTGCTAGGCACCTGTCTAGTATGACTGAAATAGGATCACATCTGCAGGCATCATACACATGTGTTCTTTCCTTGTGGATACTTATGTAGAATTCATTAAATTTATTACCAGTATGGTGAATTTGGTAGTGCAGTATGTGATCAGGTACACAGAAGTACAAGATGGTTGGTTTTGATGGTTTATTGATGGGCTTATTAAGACTTGTGTCTGCATCCTTCCACCCCTCTTACATTCACCCAGATGAATTCCTCCAGAGCACTGAACCCATGGCACGTGAGTCACTTTCCACGATCAGTTTGTTGTAACTCCAGATGATTTGTGTTGCATTAGGGGCTTTTGTATCTGGTGACTTGCAGACAAAGTATTCGGGTATAATGCTTCAATGGCATGGGAATTTCAGACCGAGACTCCCATACGTGGATCCTTTTTCTTGCAACTCCTCATTGGGCTTCCATACTTGATCCTTCGGGGAGTTTTTGGAGATGCAGATGTGCCTGCTTCTGCCCTGCTGGCATATCCTCGGCTGGCGTTTGCTGGATTCTCACTGCTTGCTGACTGGGGATACTCACGCACTTGTCATGATGCTGGAATTCACCCAAATCTCCTTCCATTCTCCACATCCCTCACCCTGGTTGTCTTTGGGGTGAAAACGTTTTCAAATAGCATTGAAACAGTGCTGTTCTCCCTCCTTCTGTCATGTGTGGTGCACGGATGGTCAGTTCCACAGACACGTGCCCTGCAGGCTTTGCCTGTTGGACTGCTCCTTGTTCTGGGAACATGGAATCGTCCTACTTTTCTCATATTCGCTTCCATCCCTATCCTCTTCTTTTTGTTTCTTCCTGTCTCATCTATGTGGATGAGACAGGGCTTCCTCATGATTTCTTCTGCATTCATTTCATTCTTAACAGTGGTTTCTGCAGACTTCATTTTTTATGGCCAATGGACTATAACTCCTTGGAACTTCTTTTTGTACAACCAGGATCCTAGAAACCTTGCACAGCATGGACTCCATCCAAAGGGCTTGACAGCCTTTCTGTTTGCTCCCTTGCTCTTTGGTCTGTTGTATTACAAGGGGTTTGAGACCTGCATTTATGTGTTCCGGTGCAGGTTTCGAATTCTCCATGCAAATCAGTTTCCCAGATTTGCATGGAGAAGAGAACAGGCGGATGAAATAGTTCACCTCGTGTCCCTCATGATGAGCTTCACGCTCATATTTTCTTTGTTTGTCTTCTCTCTTCTTCCTCATCAAGAGATGCGGTTCATACTCCCTCTCCTCCTACCTCTTTTCTTCCTCCAATGTGCAGCAGACCAAGATCACCAGATGGAGGAGGAAGGAAGAAGACGAAGAAGGAAAATGGCTGTTGTTATTCACAGGGTCTTTTCCCCAATAGTGATTTTTTTCTTCTGGGCCCTCCATCAAGGAGGATTATTGGGATGCACACTAAAACTGAGTGAGGTCCTTCAGGAAAAACCAGAACCAGGGTATGTGATGGCGGGAGACTCATATCCCGTCCCACAGACTCTTTTGCGCATCACCAGTTCCATTCCGGTCTTCGTGGAGGACCTTGGAACGATCCCTGGGAGGAAACTAGTGAATCAGATGCAAGAAGCGCTCCAGACGTGGCACCGACTATACCTCATGATCCCTGGCTCCTCCATCTCCACATCAGAAGAACTGAGAGGATTTCTCGATAGTGAATGTATCCTGCTAGATAGGCATCCCTGCCACCTGACCCTGGAAAGACCTCCTCATCCCTCATCCCTCCTGGACCTCTGGAATCAGCTTCATCTCTATCTCTACGAGTGCATGTCTCCTCCCTCGCTTCCAATCACAAGACTATGAGGAACCGTGTTGAAGTGGAGACTAATGCATGCGGCGTGATTAAGATCGTGATCTCTGCTACGCTTACCGGTGAAACTTACCCTGCGTCCATGCAGCTCAGGCAATGAATCCATAATATCCGTATGAATCCATCGAATTCCTTTTCATTCAGAAACACTGACAAGACTAGTGACAGGCAGGAGTCAGAGACGTCGACATTGATGATGGTCATAGTTGTACGGAAGGATGGGTACCGGAGCGGAATTTGACAGAGTAGCGGTAGGTAACCTGGGTGTCTTGGGATTGGGATTGTAATCCTGATAGATCTCGGCTTGTGCCCCGACAAGAGCAGAAGAGATATCGATTGAAGTGTTTCCGAAACGTGTCACTCATGACGTACATGGCAATGGGATTGATGCAGGAATTACAGAAGCCGAGAACGAAACCAAGGATTTTGAAGTAATGCCAAAATATATTGTAATTGTCCATTGATCTTGGGTAGGTGTAATACCACCAGAGAAAGTAGACGTGAGAGGGTAGGAAGCAGATTGCGAAGATGATGACGAAAGCGAGGACGATCTTAGCTACTTTCTTCCTGGCTCTCATCTGACTTTGAGATCGCCCTCCCCCTTCTCCTGGGATCCCCCTCGTACTTTCGAGCAATCCACGAGCCATACCAGCATAAAAGAAAGAGACGAGTCCCAAAGGAAGGGCGTAATAGAGCAAAAACTTGTAAGTGGCCATGGCCTGGGAATAAGAGAGGCCCAATTCTTTCGGATACGGGTAACACACCCGGATGGTTTCATTCGATGCGGCCCCTTCGAATTCCACGACTTGGGTGTAGATTAGAGAGGGTAAAGCAGTGAGGAGGGCGAGGGACCATATGAGGAGACAGGAGAGAAGTCTGATCTTACACCCCCTGCCACCACTCCCGTTGCCACGAAGGGAGGTGAGGCTGAGGGGATTTCGGATGGCGGCGTAACGTTCCATGCTGAGAGCGGTGAGTGTGAACACGGACACCCCGATGGAGACATAATTCACGTATTCTGCCAGCTTGCACATCATCTCTCCGTACGGCCACGAGTGAAACGTATAGATGGTCGATACGAACGGGATGCACACGAGACACACGCACAAGTCCCCGATTGCAAGAGTGAAGATGAACGTGTTGGGGACGTTTCGGAGTTCTCGATGACGGAGAAATATGGCAATTAACGTGCCATTACCCAAGACTCCGATTATGAATATGATGGCGAAGATGATCGGCACGACCCAAATCTCCGGACTCGCTCCCTGCTTCTCATCCTCCATCGTCTGCATGTATTTAAAGAAGGGCTAAGGACATTATTTCATTTAAAAAAAACATTCAATGATGGACGGAAGGGCAGGCAAGGCTGAATTAAGGATTCAGGCGCACATCCTACCATCCACCGTTTACGTATGTCAATACGATATAGGGCGCCGTGTGAGGACGGGGGAGAATGCTAAGAACCAAGGGGGTGCTGAGGATCTCGTAACATTGGTTTACTTGCCTCTCTCGAGTATGCACTTCCTGTAAGATTACGCCTTACCTTACAAAGAAACATAAATCTCATGCATTAGCTTCGGTTTGAAGCACCAAGTACTCTTATATTCCCAATTACTGTTATGGTACTGGAAGTAATGAAAGCCACATGTTACCCAGAACAAACACCGTTTCAGAGGGATAAAAAAAATGACACATTCGAATCCAACGTCTGAATGGACTTGTCTCAGGATTACTGATATTTTTTTTTTAGTTTTCTAGTACTGAACTGTACGGGACGTACTAAAATGCCCTTTACTTAAAAATCCCTCTAAGGAAGACTGGCAAACCCATTTTAACAAGGAGGATATCGATGAACACATCTCGCCGTGGCCGTGTAGGGTCTCACGTGCTGACCTGTTGTATTACCAAGGACAGATCTTCAGTGCTTCCAAGGAACACTGGATATCTGAACCAGTGAGGTTGGTATGTTTGAACTTGTCCAGAGAGCACTTTTAAGTCTCCATTTGTTTGGATACAGAGTAACGAATCTTATTCGCAAATGTTGTCAAGCACTCTGGCTTGACTTGCGGAAAAAAAAAACTAAAAACCTTTTGGTACAAAACATGACAGTTCACGACTATAGGCTCGCATTACGAGGGTTACCAGATCATAAAAGTCGCGTTCTCAATTTTCTCGAGAAATAATTCACCAAAGACAATATTATTTCTTCCACTTAAATCACCATGCCTTTAATTCCTTTCCACGTATACACCGCCAATTTCGATACACTTCTTGAGTCTGCTGACCCAAGCATAAAAACAGGCCCGATCATCCTCCTTTTTGAATGTAGCAAGCACTTTGTTGACTGCAGAAATCAGCGAATCGCGGTCAGAGAAACGGCTCCCACTCAGTGGTTCTTTCTATTTTTTGAAATAACCAAAAGTCACAAGGGGCCAAATTGGCGAATAAGGTGGCGCCTCCACCAGGTTGACTCCCTTGTATGCCAGAAAACTGATGGTGAGATGGGCCGTGTGTGCAGATGCATTGTCATGATGCAGGTAACAGCGCCTCCAGTCCACGTCGGATCGACATTAGGCATATTTTCGAACACTTCAGGCAAGCAAACCTCAGTGTACCACTTAGCGGTGACTGTCTTGCTCTCTTCCAGCGGAACTGCAGCAATCAGCTCATTTGCAGTGAAGAAAATGGCGAATATTGTTTTATTTGCGGACTGGACGCGACGAAATTTTGCTGGTGACGGTTCTTTCTTGCTCCAGACTTGACCCTGACGCTTTGTTGTTGGCATATAGAAAGGTACCCAGGTCTCATCACCAGTGACGAGTTTCTGGAAGGTTTTTGCTTGTCCATTTTTGAATTTCTTGAGGAAAAACTTTGCAAAATTCACTCGGCGCCGCTTTTGCACTTCTGCCAAGCAGTGTGGAACCCATTGCTCACTTTTTTTTTGAGAGGCCAAGGTGGTCCTTCAAGATTGTTTTGCATGATGGAGCACTTATCCCAAGGGTCCTCTGGATGATTTCGTAGGTGATTCGTGGATCTTCTTTGATGAGGGCAGCAACAGCAGCGACATTTTCATCATTGGTCGCTGGTTTTGGGCGTCCTTCTGGCGGCTGATTGTGGCAGTCAAAATTTTCACTCCGAAATTTTTCATACCGCCTCTGGACTGTCCTCAGAGACAGATCTTTAATCCTATAAATCGTTTTTAGATCATGGAGGCACTCGGAAGCACTTTTTTTTTTAGAGGAATTTCTATAAGATGAACGCGCGGACTTCTTTCTTTGAGAAAACCGGAAAAACTGGCAGGTTAGCTTCTCTTTTTCGTTTCCTGCGCCCTTCCATTTTTTCCAATTAATTTGAAAAACATACGGTAACCTCATGAATGATTGTACATCACGGAGGAAGGAGAGCAACCGGCTCGGCCTAAAGCAAAACATGACAAACGACAGCCCTAGCCTAGTGCCCCTCGTACATAATACTCTCAAGTCAGATTTGAATTTCAATGATGTGGAAGCATTTCCTGCTTCTTTGTCAAAACTGAATAACGGGTGATGCGGGAAAATAGTGACTTGAATTGGTCGTCTGTATCTGGCCATCTGGCAATTACTTTCAAATGCTTTAATAGCCTATCTTGTAGCACATTTTATGTAGTTTCTCCCTGTGCTATTGGTTTTTTTTTAACAATTGAAAAAATTTAGAAAAATGGCTTCAAAAGAAGATACCTTCAGATCCAGAGTGTACAAGTTCTATTCCGACAACATCGAGAAGGGAAAACTCCACACGGTTCGGCATTTCCAAGCTGAAGGGGTGCCCAAATGGACTGTATACCGGATCCTCACTCGTTTCCACAACAATCTACCTGCATCTCGTCAGCCTGGCTCCGGTGGTTCCAACAAAAAAATGACTCCGCGCAAGCTGGCTGCCTTGAGGCGGGCGATGGACAACAGGGACGGGATTTCTCAGCGCCAAGCGGCCAAGAAGTTCGGGTGCCATCAGAGTACGATCCAGAGAAGCCTGGAGAAGCTGAATATCAAGGCCCGGAAGAAGCAGCGCATTCCCCAACGATCTGCGGCCCAGATTTCCAACGCCAAAAAGTTGAGTGGGCGACTTTTTCGGAAGTTTGGAAAGGTCGCTTGGATCATCGACGATGAGTCCTACTTCACCCTCTCCCACTCCACCATCAGCGGTAACCAGACCTTTTACACATCCGACATCAACGCCACACCCCCTAGCGTTAAGTTTTCCCCGAAAACCAAGTTCGAGAAGAAGGTTCTGGTGTGGATTGCCATCGGACCAAATGGCATGTCGGAACCACTGATCAAGGAGTCCAAATTTGCGATCAACGGCCAGGTCTACCTCGAGGATTGCATCAAGAGTCGTCTGCTACCCTACATCAGAACCAACTACGACGACAATTATGTGTTTTGGCCCGACAAGGCCAGCTCTCACTACTCAAAAGTGGTGATTGAGCACTTGGACCGCGAAGGGGTGAATTATGTGGCCAAGGAGGACAACCCCGCGAACCTGCCGGAAGCCCGATCTATCGAGGACTTCTGGGCCATTCTGAAGTCCCGCGTTTACGCCAATGCCTGGAGAGCAGAAAACACCCGGCAGTTGACCAATCGGATCAGATTCTGCCTGCGGAACATGGACCGGAAACTTGTACAGCGCCTGGCAGAGAGTACCCGAAAACGGCTTGATGAAATCCGAAGGAACGGAGTCGTAGAAAATTGCTAGTATATGTAATTTGTAGTATTTTTCATGCGCTTTCAGATGATGTATAAAAGCTGTTGATGTGTTAATAAAATAATGAAGAAATTTTTGTTGAAAGAAAGTCACTTTTTTCCCGCATCACCCGTTATGTGCGGTGAGCAGTGTGAGGATAAGGAAAAGCAGACAAAAAAATTGCTTCTCGAGGAGGCAGAGTCCAATACATCATGCAATTTAAAATACCTTCTCTGCAGGAAGAGTCAATTTCACCCCTTAATATTACGGGGTTGAGCTTCTAAAGTGATACGAAATACGTTACGGTAACATACGTCATGATATTGTGTTTCATGAGCTAAAAGAAATGAGAGAGAAGCCGGTAACTAAAATTGAATAAGTTTTGTCACTTTTTTTAAGACTCCTAATATTGCGTTGAAAGTAATATAGTAACTATGTTTATCGCGTTCCCTGACGTCATGAGTTATGGGTATATCAACCTCGACTATTAGAATTTAAATGTCAAATTAAAATGTTCGAGAACTCGACCCGATCGGTCTCGAGGTCAAGAATTATAAGCCAAAGCTAATCATATACTGACAAATTCTTAAGCATTTATTTGAATTAAAATCCGATTAAAGGTCTTTTGCCGTTATCCAGGAAACACGGTCACCGGGAGGCGGATATGATGCGCCCTTTCTCTTGAGTTTAGGCATCCATGAGAGATGACACGAGAGCGGTGAATTGGGCGCCATCTCACTTCTGTTCTGGGAACCTTCTTTATTGGAGTAACTGCCAGATGGCTTGCCTGCTATTCATTTATTTCATAACGCAACTTTCATCTTTAACTCTCGACCTCGTGCACCGATTGCATTAAGCCCATGTATGTTTTTGTCTTATTAGGCGAGAACTATCTAATGGCATGCATGACGTCAGTGGATGCGATGAGACACTTTCATCTAGCATGCAAAATTAAGCTTTCGCAAAAAAAAACGGTACGTCGGAGAACGTCTGGTCACGTAAAGATAAATCCTCGGATGTGAAAGAATACGTGTGCAAATTCAACAGTTTGTCTGTTGGAGTGCTAACAAGGACGGACAGACGACGAAGGATAGTTTCATACGGTTGTCGACGCATTTTTTTGCTGTTACATCTCCGTTCGGCAAGCCTTCGTCATACCTCACAACGATTTGAAAAACTGAAAGAGAAAAGGATAAAGATTGATGGTCTATGGCCGCAATTTACATGGCTAAGGAAAGGCGTTGTATCGATCGTCACGGCTCCACTATTCATCTGAATTACACGATCTGACGGGATCTTCCGGAGGCACCGGTTACACCACGTTTTGCTAGGCATTCATGGTTTGTTTAGTGCTTTTCACTTGAGTCAATTGAGACAAATTTTCTCTTGATTCAGATACCTGTGCACGAGATGTTCATACACTAGTGTGCTGAATCAAGTGAAACACTGCCTAACTCAAGTGAAAGACACCGTAGGACCCACCCGTCAATCGACTCCTTCGTGTTCGACCTCGGTACTCTGTGGATATCGAGGGACGGAAGCGTGTGAGTCGTCATAAGTGAAC